GTTTTTTTGCCCCTTTTTTTGCCCCTAACTCCTAATATTTTGAGGCAATTACCCCCAAAATCAATCCCAGCATTCCTTTTGTGATATGGAACCTTGTGGTACAATGTCAGAGAGATCCATACACTAACACACAAGTTATGTCTGGAAGTAACAAAAATGCTAATTTTTGGCCCCTTTTTGGCCCCTAATTCCTTTACTGTTGGTACCATAACCCCCAAAATCAATCCCAACCTTCCTTTTGTGGTATTGAACCTTGTGGTAAAATTTCATGGAGATCCATTCACTTAAACTAAAGTTAGAGTGCGAAAACCAATGTGTCTTCGGACGACGCCGGCGACGACGACGCCGCCAACGTAATACCAATATACGACCACAAAAATTTTTTTGCGGTCGTATAAAAATCACAAAATTTATACTAGATACCCTAAGGATCATTTTTCTTGGGTTTGGTTGAAATTAGTTCAGCAGTTTCAGAGAAGAAGATCTTTGAAAAAGTTTACAACAGACAACGACAGATGCCAAGTGATGGCAAAAGCTTACATGTCCTTTTAGGCCAGGTGAACTAAAAAGTGAAATCAGAACTTTTAATTTTCTCAACTTGTCAATTTTGTAAACCACTGTAAAGACATTTTCGGGTTCTGATTTGTATTTTTGAAGCTAATGTCCCTACATGCTTATGTAAAATACATAAAAAAAGTCTATCAAGCAAATAAAACAAGTGAAACTGCGAGCTACTGCTCACTGATGATACCCCCGCCGCAAGTGGATAATATTAATAGTGTAAAAATATGCAAGTGTTCGGTAAACAGGAAGTTGTCGAGTGATGAATCTGAAAACACATCACACGGTAAAGCTGACTTATATAAATCCTGAAACCAAATTTCAGAAATCCTTGTATTGTAGTTCCTGAGAAAAATGTGACGAAAATTTTCAACTTGGCTATCATGTGTAAAATCATACAAGTGTTCGGTAAACAGGAAGTTGTCAAGTGATCAATCTGAAAACGCATCACACGGTATAGCTGACTTAGATAAACCCTGAAACCAAATTTCAGAAATCCTTGTATTGTAGTTCCTGAGAAAAATGCGACGAAAAATATTCATGGGACGGACGGACTGACTGACGGACTGACGGAAGGACAGACAGAGGTAAAACAGTATACCCCCCCTTTTTTAAAGCGGGGTATAAATATTTGAATGCAACTGAAATAAGTTAATAAGATATGGAGGAACTGTGAGTGTCCTTACTGCAATACTCCTTTGTAATGAAATTGAGTCTACTTATATCATTATGATCATGTTATTAATGATTTTATTATATCAAATTTCATATATTCATATATATATAAATATATGCCAATAAATTACATGTACATTGAGATAACATTATTGTTTAAAAACTTCAGAGTAGAAAAATAATGCAATGGACTGACATGGATTGATACTTGATAAGTAAAATAAAAATTATATATAAATACAATGTTTGACGACAGAATCAACATTAAAAAAATTCCAACAAATATTATCAAATAAAAGCTGAAATACAATGAAATAATAAAATCATTGTTTTAAACATAGTCGTTAAAAACAGGTTCAATATAAATTATAACAGTGTGTATACACCTTTTGTTTATGTATTTACATGTGATTAAATTCATGAAATTTTTTAATTTAAACTATACAACATACTACCATTTTTCAAACTTAAAGAAGTCTGTAATATTTAATAAGGTACAAAATAAATCCAGAAATTCACATGTTGATGGAAATGACATCAATGATTATTTACAACTGGCACCATTTTGTCATCAATATATGAATTCAGTGTATGTAATTGTGTACTCTTCATGAACAAAATTATTTTGATTTTCTAAACTACATCTACTGAAAATCTACCTCAATTTGGCAAAAATCTTGCTTTGAAAAGATTTTATAAAATATCACCATAGAATGTTGAATGATCAGATTTGGAAAATAAAAGGCTATGTAATATGTGTCCTTTTTTAAGAACAAGAGTGCACACGCTGAAATGTCTCGCCTTCTTTACTAATCATTGATATTATGTTGATAGTCCTAAATATAAAGCTTTATTACAACTGTCACATAAACTTAACATTAACCAAGTAAACTAAACATTGACCAATGAACCATGAAAATGAGGTCAAGGTCAGATGAACCATGCTAGGCAGGCATGTACAGCTAACAATTCTTCCATACAACAAATAGAGTTGACCTATTGCTTATAGTTTTAAGAAAAACAGACAAAAACACAAAAACTTAACACTGAGCAATGAACCTTGAAAATGAGGTCAAGGTCAAAAACCTGCGTGACTGCTAAATAGATCATAAAATATTTCCATACACCAAATATAGTAGACCTATGGCATATAGTATAAGAAAAACAGACCAAAACACAAAAACTTAACTATAACCACTGAACCATGAAAATGAGGTCAAGGTCAAGTGAAAACTGTCTGACGGGCATGAGGACCTTGCAAGGTACGCACATACCAAATATAGTTGAACTATTGCACATAGTATTAGAAAAAAAGACCAAAACTCAAAAACTTAACTTTGACCACTGAACCATGAAAATAAGGTCAAGGTCAGATGACACCTGCCCGCTAGACATGTACACCTTACAATCATTCCATACACCAAATATAGTAGACCTATGGCATACAGTATAAGAAAAACAGACCAAAACACAAAAACTTAACTATAACCACTGAACCATGAAAATGAGGTCAAGGTCAGATGACACCTGCCAGTTGGACATGTACACCTTACAGTCCTTCCATACACCGAATATACTAGACCTATTGCTTATAGTATCTGAGATATGGACTTGACCACCAAAACTTAACCTTGTTCACTGATCCATGAAATGAGGTCGAGGTCAAGTGAAAACTGTCTGACGGGCATGAGGACCTTGCAAGGTACGCACATACCAAATATAGTTATCTTATTACTTATAATAAGAGAGAATCTAACATTACAAAAAATCTTAACTTTTTTTTCAAGTAGTTACTGAACCATGAAAATGAGGTCAAGGACATTGGACATGTGACTGACGGAAACTTCGTAACATGAGGCATCCATATACAAAGTATGAAGCATCCAGACCTTCCACCTTCTAAAATATAAAGCTTTTAAGAAGTTAGCTAACGCCGCCGCCGCCGGATCGCTATCCCTATGTCGAGCTTTCTGCGACAAAAGTCGCAGGCTCGACAAAAAAGTAGTATGAGAGTCATCATGAAGAGAAAATCAAAGGATAATAAAATACATTTTTTAAAAGAAGTCACTGAACAATGAAAATGAGGAAAAAAACAATGGGCATATATGCCAGATGGAGATTTAGACCATAACTTGCATAAGACATCTGTATACCAAGCTCCTATTCCTTCTGAAATACAAAGCTTTATTACAAGGAGCTAACATCACTTCTACCAAATTTTCATCCCAATGTATTGCATTGGCAGAACAAACATAAATCATTTATTATTATAGAAAATATGTAAGTGTTATGCAAAATTACAAGCTAACAACTTCGACATGTGGTTTCCTGAAGATGAACCAGGCTTAGTGAAAACACAATATTTTATAAGAATTTTTACCCTAAAAAAATCAGACCTACTTACCAGGGTATACTATAATTTTTAGGAGAGTTTGTTTGGCTTTTCTTCATATGAAAGAGATAGACTTATAACTTTAAAGAACCTTTAGTGAGCCAGCTCACATACCCCATGCCCAAGATAAAGAGGAAAAGCTAATATTGACCTGATGGCAGTTTTTTTCTTCTTTGCATTAAAATATGATTTTGGTTTATAATTTCAGACAGTAATATTGTGTTACACAATTCCATATTTATTAACTTTGACCTTGGTGACTTACAAATCAATAGGGATCTTCCTCTTATTGTATGTGACCATATATCCAAGTTAGGTTGCAATCCCATATACCGGTATATGAAGCATCCTGAAACTTCTTTTCTGCACAAATTTCAGAATTTCTGTAGTAACTATGACCTTGACTTTAGACATAGTAACCTCAAAATCAACAGAGACCTTACTCTCATTATATGCGACCATATATCAAAGTATGGTTGCAATCAGGCCTGGGGCCATTACATTGCAATGTAAAAAGAAATTGATAAATATTAGCAGGGTATATGTACATATATATATATAGTGTTAGAGCATAGATTTCAAATACTGGTTAATCAACATGTCCATTGCACTTTATCATCATAAGTGTTTCAAACGTGCTGTCATTAAGAGAACAGCGATCAGGTCTGTACACCTTTCTAGCATTACTAAAAAGCCTTTCTAAAGGAGTTGATGTGGAGGAAATGGCTAAATACTTGATAGATGTATTAGCCAAAGAAGAAAGGTGCACTGAATTTGACATCAAGTATTCCAGTGGATTGATTGACATTTCTTTACATGGCTCAGACAAGTAAATGTCAACATCATGTACTGCACCAGACCTGTGTCTTCTCTATGATGGAGTAGTAGGAGGCATGAAACTGAAAAAGTCACTTTCAAGTTTCTTAGGTGGTGGTGAAAAATAAATAAATTATCATATAATTTCGTTTCTAACATTGCTCACTTAATTATTAAGACATCATAAAGGGATTTCAAAGGAATATAATAAATGTGTCATTAAAAGATTATCTTGTTAAATGCCTAAGGGCTCAGGACAAACATAAGTTGAGAAGATTTGATTACAATAAAAACAATTTGATATTAATCAGGATACAAATTACAGTTTGGTGTAAAAATGTCGATTGACATATTCAATCTTTCATTGAAATACCTGTAAGGTGTGTATGGAATAATGAAATTTCATCTCCATATTTTTTCTATTCATCAATATAATTTTGTTTTATAATTTTTTTAGAAGATTTTTCATGGACTACCAAAATATTCCTAATATCATTTATACAAATATCAGAAACAAAGATCAAGACTTGATAATTTTCACCCCCCCCCCCCCCCCCCCCCCCCCCCCCTTTGCCAATTAAAGAAGTTTTTATATTTCTTACCTTTATCTGTGTTTTAAAGTTTGATGCAATTTATTTAATACAGTAATTAACTGTGACAATAATTTTATTCAATACTTTCTTTTGTTTTTGTTAATATTTTATTTATTTTATTTTTATTTTACAATATTCTGCAATTTTATTTATTTAACCAATTTGTAATGAAAAGTAATGTACAGTAATGGAGGCATTACATTGATTTTTAACAAAAGTAATCATTACATTACAATACATGTAATTGTAATGCAGAAAATGTGCATTACAAATTACTTTACATTACATAAAAAAAAAATGTAATATTACAAGCATTACAATTACAAATTGCCAAATGACGATACTGAATGACGGACAGCACAAACATTATATACCCCTGCTACTTTGTTGTATGGGATCTAAAAAAAAATTATAGATGACTTAAACTATCTACAAGGGCTACAGGAATAACTTCTGTAGCCAGAAATATGACACTTGGCAGGGTGGTTTTAATGTGTTATGCAACAATTAACCAACTTTTATAACGTTATCACATTTAAAAAAAAATCAAGTTTATCATTTTTTTTCTAATATCAACATTCTCCCCCTGAAAAATTCCATTCTGTCAATTTAAATGAATTCTAACACCATTTAACTATCAGTATATGAAGACAGAAATAAAGATTGCTTTGATGAGTCATTTTCTTTAGCATATATATGTTTAACGGAAAATCTAAATAATTATTAAAACCACTTTTTGAAAATGAGAAAGTCATGAAATTTTCTGTAATAAACAGTTCAAAAGAAACAAATCTTTTGTAACACAATCCATCTTAATAGAACACATTTTTAACTCTTTTTTGGGACGAAAATCAAATTTCACAAATTATGTTTTATACCTTTTGACATGTGTTGGAATTATCAACTTCATAAAACTTTTTAATGAGTAAAAATGAGTTGTCAATGATCAGACAAAAAGATGTTTCTCTGTGCCACTTTTAATACCAAGGCTGCTACAGAAGATTTTCAGACAGGAGTTTTTAATATTTTTGTAATGGAAAGTACAAATTGGTCATGTTGGTGGTCCTTAACTTTTTTTGCTGAAAATATAATATGGATGTAAATATAAAAATATGGAGATGTGGTATGATTGCCAATGATATATAAAAAAGAAGATGTGGTATGATTGCCAATGAGACAACTTTCCACAAAAGACCAAAATGACACAGACATTAACAACTATAGGTCACCGTACGGCCTTCAACAATGAGCAAAGCCCATACCGCATAGTCAGCTATAAAAGGCCCCGATAAGACAATGTAAAACAATTCAAACAAGAAAACTAACGGCCTTATTTATGTAAAAATAATGAACGAAAAACAAATATATAACACATAAACAAACGACAACCACTGAATTACAGGCTCCTGATTTGGGACAGGCACATACATAAATAATGTGGTGGTGTTAAACATGTTAGACAACTATCCACCAGAGTTCAAATGAAATAAAATTGAGAATGGAAATGGGGAATGTGTCAAAGAGACAACAACCTGACCATAGAAAAAAACAACAGCAGAAGGTCACCAACAGGTCTTCAATGTAGCGAGAAATTCCAGCACCCGGAGGCGTCCTTCAGCTGCCCCCTAAACAAAATATTTACTAGTTCAGTAATAATGAACGCCATACATGTAAGCAATTATACCATAAATGTAGATTTGTCATTTTTCTTCATCATTACTGCATGTACTGGGTAGAGACTTTTGTTTTAATGGAACACTAGGAACATCCAATTCCAATTCCATCTCCTTTAATGGGAGAAATTTTTTTTGCATAGAAATTGTTTTTTCAATCAAATGTAAGCGTTTTGGAGCAATACGACCTAAAAAATCACATGTTCCTTTTAAACTTTTAATCTCATCTACTAAAAGTTTAGGCTTTAAGGTAAAATGATTCAATGTCATCCAAATTTTTAAAATGTTTGATAAATTTAATGTTTCACCCTCTGCACTAAATTTATTCTTATTCCAAATAGGAATAGGATCTCCTTTATTTCTTAACAGGATGTCATTCTGTGTATCATACATATAAATATCAAAGTAATCAGAACTTGCAACAATAGTAGGAATTAAAAAAGCTTGAGGAAGTGTTTTGCCTTTTTCTCTCTGACGTACCCTCTGGTACATTGAATAAGTAATTGTCTGTGCAACAACTTGCTCAATTTTTTCCTTTTTTCGTAATGTTGATGATTTCAAATCAATTTCAATTATCTGATTTTCTGCTTGGTCTACATCGAACTCTCTGTCATCTGCACTGCAGTCTTCTGCATATATAATATTACAGCCACCTCCTGCCATAGTGAACAACATGATGTCTGGTCTTCCATACCATAAATATTCACTCCCTTAAATAACATAAACAATGAATTAGAATGATTAGAATTTAAATAATCAATTCTAATCTTGGCAGCTGTGCGGAAAAATTCAAATTTAAAAGTGGCAGAAGAATTACATTTCGCTTTCTTTAGTAAACAAGAGGCTCTCAAGAGCCTGAATCGCTCACCTGAATTTTTTTGCTCAATTCATTCATCAATCATGATTTATATATTTGCTTTTTAATGTATATCGGGTGTTTGCTTAAAAATGCCACTTAAAAATTCTTTGTTTTGGTCATATTTGCTTCAAAATTAAAAAAAAATATTTGTCTGCAATCTCACTGCAGATACATGTAGATTTTAAATTGTTGATCATATTTATTCTGTAAGTTTTGTCCTTGGTGCTTAAGAGATGAAATATAAAAACTGCATTTTACTACTATGTTCTTTCTTGGCAATACATGCAATAGCAGCCATGTTTTACAATGCATTATATTCAAGATATAATTTCTAAGCTAAATACTGAATAGAAATTCAAGGTATAATTTCAAACAAGAGTGGACATGGATAGTATCTGTAAGCATTCTGAGATTATTGCATAGAAATGTGAGTCAATTCACTCAAGGATCCCACATCTCATAATTAGTTCAATTATTTCTCTTGAAATATTTCAGACCAGGATTTTTAATTATGCAAATCAGCAGGTTGTGTACTATATGTGGAGTTTCATCAATATCAATTGAGCTGTTAAGGAGTTGTGCTTCTGAGAACTGTTGCCACATGTTGTAATAAACTAAGTGCATGCAAGTTCAAATATCTCCCTAGAAATACTTTGGACCAGGATTATTCTCCTTTATGGACATGTACATACTCAGGTTTTGTACTGCAACTGTATTAAGTTTCATTTGTATCTGTCAATACATTAAGGAGGAGTTTCACTTACAAGAAATATGGACAAAGGGACAGACAGGGTAATTCCTACATTGTATATATAATTCTTAAAAATGTGTTTTTTGAGGTATAATTATTTTTGCCATTTCATTTCTGAGGGTGATTTTTAAAATTTTTCTGCTGTCCAATAATTGATCCTAGAAAAAAAACTGTAGATATCAATTGTTTTAATTGATCTGCATAAATCAAGTTGTTACATGTAGTTGTGTAACTTGAATGCAACTCTTTGGCTGACAACTATCTCTATAGTACCGAAAAAAAGACCAAATCAGAGAAGTTTAACATCAACCAATGAACCATGAAAAATAAGGTCAAGGTCAGATGAAACCTGCCAGACAAATATACACCTTAAAATCATTCCATGAACCAAATATAGTTCCGGATACCTTATAGTACATTTTTTGTATCTAAAAAACAGACCAAACAATAAAAAATGTGCTTCGCCGAGCGCGGCCCGATATGACTGCAGAGGTCCAACCCTGAATAGTTGGGGCAAAAATGGACACAATATTCAAGCTTGATACAGGTCTGAATTTGGATTGTAACTACATATTTGACACATTATAGGTTTCTGATACAGATTAGTCAAAGAACTTGAAATTGTTTATATGATTTGAATTTACATTCAATTGAAGATTTCTTGCTGTTGTGCAATACTTAGTAAAATCTGTTTTCAGACTATATACATGTACAAAGAATTAGCAAAATAAATTGTGACCCCCAATTTTTTAAATCTTCGGAAAAAAATTGACCCCTCCAAAAAGAATAATTTTTAAATAAATATATTCTTGTTGTAAAATGTGATACAATTAAAGAGACATCCATCCACTTTAAAAATACAAGTTATTGTCTGAAAACTAGAAAAATGCTTCTTTTTGGCCCCTTATTCCTGAACGGTTTGGGCCCTTACCCCCAAAATGAATCCCAACCTTTTACTTGTGGTATTGAACCTAATGGTACAATTTCAGAACAATCAAAATACTTATACACAAGTTATTGTCCTGAAACTAGAAAAATGTTTGTTTTGGGCACCTTTTTTGCCCCTAATTCCTAAACGGTTTGGACCATCACCCCCAAAATCAATCCAAACCTTCCTGTTGTGGTATACAACCTTTTGATTAAATTTCAATTTTTGTGCGGTCGTATAAAAATTAACATTTTGTTGCAGATAGATTTTAATCTAATCAATACTTCTGTCACTTTTGCTGTAACTGCTTTGGTTTGTGAGATATAAGCCAAAAACTGCATTTGTCCCCTATGTTCTGCTTTTAGCAAAAAAATTAATGGTGGCCATGTTTGTTGATGGAGCAAAACTTTGGATACAATTTATAAAAAAGATACCCTAAGGAACATTCCATTAAAGTTTGCAAGTATTTGGCTAAGTAGTTTCAGAGGAGAAGATTTTTGAAAAAGTAATAGACTCACAAAAAAATGTAAAAAAATTGTGTCTTAAGGGCAATAACTCCTTAAGGGGTCAATTGATAATTTGATCATGCTAAGTTATTTGTAGAAATTACTTAGCTGAACATTTTTCTCATTTACACTTTTTTTATATCTACTATAATTTTAAAGATAATAACCAAAAACTGTAAAATTTCCATAAAATTATCAATTCAACAATGGGTTGTCTGATTCGTCTGAAAATTTCAGGGCAGATATATCTTAACCTGATGTACATTTTTATCCATGTCAGATTTGCTCTAAATGCTTTAGTTTCAGAGATATAAGCTAAAAACTGCATTTGACCCCTATGTTCTAATTTTAGTAACAGGGGCCATGTTTGTTGATAGATCAAAACTTCAGATACAATTTATAAACTAAATACCATAAGGAACATTCATTTAAAGTTTGAAGGTATTTTGCCTAGTAGTTTCAGAGGAGAAGATTTTTGTATAAGATTACAAAAATTTACGAAAAATTGTTAAAAATTGACTATAAAGGGCAATAACTCCTTAAGGGGTCAATTGACAATTTTGGTCATGCTGACATATTTGTAAATCTTACTTTGCTGAACATTATTGCTGTTTACAGTTTATCTCTATCTATAATAATATTCAAGATAACCAAAAACTGTAAAATTTTCTTAAAATGATCAATTCAGGGACAGCGACCCAACAATGGGTTGTCTGATTCGTCTGAAAATTTCAGGGCAGATAGATCTTAACCTGATGAACATTTTTACCCCATTTCAGATTTGCTCTAAATGCTTTAGTTTCAGAGATATTTATGCCAAAAACTGCATTTGACCCCTATGTTCTAATTTTAGCAACAGCGGCCATGTTTGTTGATAGATCACAAATTCAGATACAATTTATAAACTAGATACCCTAAGGAACATTCATTTAAAGTTTGAAGATATTTTGCTCAGTAGTTTCAGAGTAGAAGATTCTTGAAATAGTTTACGACGACAATGCTGTTGTTGACAGACAAGGACGACGACCGACGCCAAGTGATGGCATAAGCTCACATGGCCCTTCAGGCCAGGTGAGCTAAATAGTTTGATGAAATAGAATCTAGTTTAAATGAAAATAGACAACTGCATGTATTCTTCAGTTTACAGTACATATAAAATAGAATGTATAAAATATATGACTTGAGACTTCTATCAAATGCTTTATTCTGATCTGTTGTCTCAAGCTGCCTTACCAGATTCCCTGACAAATTTTACTGTTTTATGTTAATCAATATAACTTACAGTTCAAAACAAAGAATTTCTATCAATGAGTTACAACTGCCCTGAAGTATATTTACTTCAATTGGTTGAAATAAAAAAAAATTATTAATAACTTCACGACTCAACTTACATCAAAATTATTAAAGATAAAACAGTAATAAACTACAAACAGGGTTGTTAAAAACACGTGTTTTATGAGTATTGCTCAGCCGGGTGGGAAATACTGGGAAAACCTGGGTTTTAATGGGTAATATAAAATAGTAGCCTCATTCTTTAAGAGTATTAAAATTTAATACATAAAAGATATATATGTCATGTATGTCATGTATGTAAAACAAACTAATTTACTTTATAAGTTAATTTGTTTGAGACATTTATAAACTAAAAAGTGTATAAATTGGATAAAGAATTTATACAGCATTAACTCTTAGATATACATGACCACACATAGACATGATAGACAAACTTTATGTGAAAAGTTTACTCATAAAGATTATAGATGTATGTAACCCTCCTAAACATAAATTGCCATTCTGTCTAAATTGGTCAAACTTGAAGCCAAAGTCATTTCATTTTTATATATACGGTATATAACTTATATTAACTTAAGAGTTATCTATTAATTTTGGTTAAGGAAAATTGTCTATTCAACAATTTTTGTTCATTGTTAAAAAATGTATACACAATTTTAGCATACTTACATGTACATTACTAATTAATAAGGAATTATTTAGATTGTACTAATTTGAAAACAAATTTGTTTATATATTACAATAATTTAAGCCTTTTCACTTTTACAGGTGTGGGTGATTGGTTCCCTTACGGTGTTTTTTTTACAGTATTGAATTGGTAATCTTTTAGAATAATTTTACTTAAAGGATTGATAAGTTTAACCTGATCGTATCTAAATTTCCGGGCACCGTAAACAACATCACCGTAAAAATTAGGACATGTAGTATGTGTTATTCCGTTTGAAATAAGTTTTCTACAGGTACAGCCAAACTTCCAAACTAAATCTTTGTATCTATGGAAGAATTTAGTAAAGGTTTTAAGTTTTAATATGTTAGTGAGGAAGTATCTGTTTGTTTGTTTACAGTTCAAATCAATAAATGCAAAATTTTACTTACAACTAAATTTTATTCCAGCACTTTACATCAAATACTATTTCATTAAGTGAGGTAATTGACATGATTAACTAAACATGCTAAAAGGAGTAGGTTCAGTAAGATCCATTTTTGGCCCCAAATTATAGCAGTTTTAGAAAATTGTGAAAATGTAATCTTTAAGCTATATTTTGCCAAGTAAAGCGCTTCTGCTACATAAATATGAGCAGTTTTTGACAATGCAATGCACAAATATCGTGTTCTAGCATCATTAAGTCATGTTAAATTACTGAAATCTTCAAAATTTTAGCATTTTGGTTAATTTTTAGACGGTTTCCGTCTAAAATGAAAGTGGCCGCATTCATGTTCATTCATAATATTGAAATGTAAGTTGTATTTGATGATAATACAAAACATATATAAAGGTTGAGGATGAACACGGATGCGGCCACTTTCATTATTGACAAAAAACATCTTAAAAGTGACGTTTTTTGGCATATTTGATAGATTTTTCATATTATAGCTTGAATCAGAGCCTTTTTAATGACTAAATCAGTTAAAATCTTTCACATAATCGAATCAATTGAAATAAACACTTAAGTGTTTAAAAAGTGCCCAAAAACTTTCGTTAGATGAACCTGAAATTTGAGGCCAAAATCGGCCCTTACCGGACCTACTCCTTTAAATGTTCAAATAAAATGCCTTTTATATGAAATTCAAAGGTTTATTAAGGTCTTTCCTTTTACAAAAGGGAAAGACCTTACTGTATTTCTTCTGTTTATTATTATTATTCTTCCGCCAAACTTTGACAAATTTATCCTTGTTAACCGTAAGGCGTGTCGCTTTCATGTTCACAATTTGTATCGGTCTCATGAATACCTATCCTGAACTCACCCTGTTAGTCGAAATATTTTGTCGGTTCGGAGTAATCCCTCCGAAACCCAAAAACCTTGTTATCGTTCCAACACCGTAACCATAATAGGTAGAAATAAAACGAAGGGTGAAATTTGTTCAGGACCAGACCCTGGTTCTTCGTTACATTTGGATCGAAAAGATTCAACGACTCATTGGTAGGGTTATGCCCCTATGAAAATTAACCGGTGTCGGTTGGCCACCAAAACTCAGAAACCGTAAGTCGTAGACACCTAGGATCTTCACTATTCATCATCAATTCATGTATCTTTGAAAAATACCTCAAGGTCAAATTTGTATGTTGACCTTGACCTTTGACCTAACACCTTGTTATGGGATAATCTCAGAAACCATTACACTTACAGAAGTTTTAAATAGTGGAAAATGTTTGGGTCATTACGGCGCAACTTTGTTACATTTTGACCAAAGAGATTTGACCTTTTTATAAGGGGCATAACCCCAGTTTTAGGTTTCCGAAAAGACAAAATCAGCTTTTACTATATAACCAAAGGTCCTAGACCCATGGGGTTTTCAGCAATGACATTGGGGACTAATGACCTTGACAAAGGTCAAAAGGTAAAAGGTCAAGGTCATGTCCCATATAGCGAATTATGTGTTTTTGACCTAATTTAAAGGATTTTCAGTGTGTTTTAAACATTTTCAGTGTGTTTTGAAGCTTTTTAAGGTTGACCTTGACCTTTGACCTTACAACTTTTTAGTCGATATCTCAAAAACGATTGTACTTACAGAAATAGTAAATAGTGAAAAACGTTGAGGAAGATGAGGCGCAACTTTTTTACATTTGACCGAAGAGATTTGACCTTTCTGTAAGGGGCATAACCTGTGTAAGAACTTTTCAATACACTCTACGTCTATTGGAACATGTATTTTACATTACAAAAGGAAAGACCTCTCAATTGTTCAAGAACAATTGACATTTTAATTTAACCTCCTGTTTTAATTGCATCAGAATATTTGCAAATACTATTTTTACCAACCGCGGATCCAGTAATCAGAGTTTTGGGATAATCGTGTTCTAGATAAAGATTGGAGTTATAATATTCAATTCTAAAAGTTTTTTATTTCTTTTTGCATTGCTTTGATATTGTGATTTTTCTAGTAATTTTGAAGTTATTAGTATTCAACTTATAACTTTAATGGTACCAATGTTTACTGCACCGGTGAATTTCAAATTATTTTGATTTTAGTGCTTGTTTAACAATTCAATTTTTAAACAATTTCAATTATGAAATTTAATATTTTCAAGCTGATAAATATGCTTTGGGCAGCTATCAGGCATTTATAGAAATTCTTTGTTTTGAACAATAAGTAGGCCTAAACAATAGGACATAAGAACATGATTTACATTCATTCTTCACGATTAAAACACATCAAATCCTACAATTTCATTAGTCAAGAGCACTTTGCTATATAATTATATTCAAAGTTTGTATGTATACATGTTAAATTCATGTTTATTTGTAAAATCATACATTTCATTGGCTAATCACTGTACACTTTTGTACATGTAATTACATCGATCAACATTTTTATAGTTAAAAAGGAGGAGGGTTGGCATTTCAGAAGATCTGGTTTAATCTTGTCACATATTCATGTGGCTGTTCAAAGAAATATATACATGCAAATTATGACAAATAACTCACCAATTCCAGTATTCCGATATCTGATCTGCTGACCACATTTCATACAAGGACAAACATCGAACTTATTGTGATAGTCATTTGTTAAAAAATAATGATGTCCAGAGAACCGAATAGTTAGCCTGGAGAACAGATGATTTGCTAATAATGTGCAAATATATGATTCATCATTTTTTATAGGTCTATCTCTTTGTTCAGGTATTCTATGCATGCATCTCAAACAATCCTCATGGAAATCTGCAAATATATATACATGTTTGCATTAGATATGTAAAGAAACAAGAGGCTCCTTGTACTTATTTGTAGGTTTTACTTTTCTGAACTTTTTTGCCATTTCAAGTTTCTTATCATAAAAAGTGCCCTGCCCCTTTTGATTTCTAGCTGGAGCACTGTGACTTATTGTAGGTCTTACTCTGCTAAACATTTTTGCCATTTACAGTTTCTCTCTATCTATCATAGCTTCTGCAAAAAACTTTTAAAATTAATAAAATAGTCTTTCAAGGGCAATAACTCCTATAAGGGTTCAATTGACTATTTCCGTCGGTCTGACTTATTTGTATATCTTACTTTGCTGAACATTTTTCTGTTACTGTTTCTCTCTATCTACATTTGTATATATATATTATATTCAAGATAATAACCAAAAACTGTGAAATTTCAGGGGAAATAACCCAACAATGCCTTAATGCACCTACTTTGTAATAATATTAAGCAAGGTCTTAAGAATTGAAATTTTACAGAGATTTTGTTTCCCTAGAAAAATTGATATCACAGACTTTTAGAACCATAAATTAGACATCTCGTTTGTTCAAAAATGTTATATTTATATTATTTAGTCATTTTTGATACAAATTTCTAAATTTTCTAGAAAATTGGAATGGAAGTGGGGAATGTGTCAAAGAGACAACAAACTGACCAAAGAGAGGAAAACAGCATATTTGACTAGCTATAGAATACTAAGATTTATTTTCCTTGGAAAACTTTTCCTGGGGCTCACTTTTCTAGTAAAATTGTGGTCATGGACGATTACCTAGGAAACAAAAAGACTGGGGAACAAATTTTACTACCGGACAGATTTTACTGTTAGTGCTGCATAATTAACTGGCTGTTTCTGTATTAGCCCTGGTATAGATTCGAGTTTAGTATTGGCCCAGAGACTCGAAAACAAGATTGCAGCTTAAAGTAAAGATGTGTGGTCAATTCATTCTTTTTCATATATTTTTGAAAAACATTGCTTAATATTAATACAAAGTAGGTGCATTAAGGCCGGGTTTGGCCCAAGAAAATAAAGTTTTTTAGAACTATTTCAAGTTTGCACATATTGTTTGGAAATGCATAAAATAAAAAAAAATGTAAATGAATCACAAAAGATTTTTGATGTAATGTAGTCGCAATTATGTCATAATATGCACCGTTTTCATGAAAACATAGAAAACTCCAGAATTTCTACAGTTTTCCATCGTTATTTCCAGTGTGGAAAAATCATGCGCAGCCAAGAAACAACAAAATAATTTAAGAGTATTTTTATTATAAATATTGACATACTGTCACTAAATATAAAGTTGTTTCTTGGATGCACATACTTTTCCAATCTAATATATATATACTTAAAAGATGTAAATCAAGGAAAATCAAGAAATTTTACAAAATACACACATTTTGTCATGTGTGTCATAGTTTGTTAATTGCAATACATGTATATAGTAACATGTTTATACTGTGATGTGAAATGTGTTTTTATTTTCTGAAAACTTTAAGCGCGCTTATACCTTATTAGAGTCAGGACAAATTTAAGAATATGTATGGTAACTTTTCAAATTGCTATAATATTTAGGCCAAATAAGACCTCTGCAAATTATATATAAGGTGTTATTAACTGGAGAAGTAGTTTTCATCATACTACTGAGGTTCTCATTGCTAAGCAATAATACAGTTTAATATTTCATTTATAAACATTTTTGAATTATGTTAATGATTTGATTGATATTATTGTAGCAAGTGTCAATTTGTTGGTTTACATGTATATTCATAGTATGTACAGTACATGTATCCATGAATAAATATAAAAATGTTGTGCAGATATTATTTTGTCTTCTTATAAATCTGACAGACAATAAATAGCAAGGTATTCCTTATCAACATGAGCCAAATCTCTAACTAAATCTTATAACTTAGTACAACAATCATGACAATTAATTGGGCACAATTAATGTACTTCTCTAAAAACCTTCCTGATGGCTGATGCACAATTATCATACTTAATCTGTTAATCAAAATTTAACATAACTTTTAAAATTTGATCATTTCTTCTAACAATACTGGTATACATGGTATACAGTGACCCAGTCTAAATACATGTAATTATAAATGACTTCTTGAAAGACTACGTTGTCGTCACAACAAAAAATTAAAATAGCCTTTCAAGACGTCATAATTATTTGGACTAGACTGCTAGAATACACTCATATTCCAGTATCATAGTATTTTTAAGAGAAAAAACACAATACTCGAATAAAATTTTATACCATTATTGTTAGCAATACTGGTATATGTACCAGTGTACATTGTATACATGTACATGGTATACCAGTAATGTGATCTCGAGATTGTGATCCTCAAGTTCAGGTGATCCCAAACTTTTATCAAGGAAATCATGATAGGAAATGCAAGCCCTGGAATAATGTAGCAACTGGGAGATAAATACTCCATATGCAGGCGCTGCCTAATATTTACAACAACAAAAAAAAGTAAAATAAAAAAGGGGGGGCATTCCGCAAGCACCTGTGAATTTCACATCATGAATTTTTCATTTGGGGTTTTTGACATAAATCAAAATGTATACAAAAACTACAATTTTTACATACCTTTCTCTTCTAAGAATCCTAATATAAAAGCGTCCGTAACGAACTGAAGACTTGGATCTGGACATTTCTTTCCTTCGATGTTTAGTTCAAGAGAACGGAAACCATCCTCAAACATGGACTTGAATGATACTCGTTTAGTGAAAACCCCTTCACCTGTTTTCATGACTTCCTGTGCTTCCATTATATCAAGAACTTTTCCGGATTTATCTTCCAGATACTGTATAGTATCAACATTAGCCCTGGAAAAATTTCTACCTAATGCATATCCTCTTATTCGTAAGGGTTGAAATTCTGTGTCTTCGAAATCACTGAGTGCTTCTCTTATAAGTCTGGAACAAGATGCGTTCCGTGATAATGCAGATTCTTTGGAATACAAACAAGAAACTGGGGTATACGTCAACTGTAAACGAACCTTGTTGCATAACCTCGAAAGAATACGTGTCGCCATTTGGATTCGACCTTTTAAATCGCCCACTGGCAAATCGCCCCACACCAAATCGCCCCACTTTTTCACCAACTCGCCCCACTTTTGAAAAATCGCACCAAACTGGTTTACCAACTCGCCCCATTTTTAAAAAAATCGCCCCACTAGTGAAAAGGGTTAAATCCCGTTAATTTTTCTCCTGCCAACTCGCCCCACTTAATGAAATAATGTAAACCTAGATGAATATATAATTTCAGGTCTGCCAACTCGCCCCACTTAAATAAAAAAATCTTATACACAGAATACAAAAAAAAAACGAAAAACGAAAATTTACTAAATCATTATTATTGACATTGAGTTGGCATGACTCAACTTGATTCATCAGGTATTTTCTATTTTTCATAAGTGGGTCGAGTTGGCATTACTCAATTCATCATGATTTTTCTATTTTCCACTGGTTGGGCTAGTTGGCATTCACGTCACAGAAAATACTGATACTCACTTCTTTATGCTTTATTTCAACAAAAAGAGAAGAACTACAAAATAGATATAAGAAGATGTGGTATGAGTGCCAATGAGACAACTCTCCATCCAAGTCACAATTTGTAAAAGAAAAACCATTATGTATAGATCAAAGTACTGTCTTCAACACGGAGCCTAGCTTGGCTCACATCGAACGGTAAGCTATAAAGAGCCCCAAAAATGACTAGTGTAAAACCATTCAAACGGGAAAAACATGTGTATCTAAGGTTTTAATAGGTATTGATTTTATTTATAAGTGGGGCAGGAACATAGATATACAACGGGATTGCATCTTTTTTCATAAGTGGGGCGAGTTGGCATTACTAAATTCATCAGGATTTATTTATTTTTCACAAGTGGGGCGAGTTGGCAGACCTTATATCAGAGGGATTTTTTTCCCTTTTCATAAATGGAGCAATATATCCAACCTATTTTCAATGGGATTTTATCCTTTTCATAAGTGGGGCGAGTTGGTTAACAAAAGTGGGGCGATTTTTAAGAAAGTGGGGCGAGCTGGTGAAAAAGTGGGGCGATTATGTGTGGGGCGATTTACCAGTGGGGCGATTTGTCATGGATTCCTAAGATAAGACAGCAATTTTAACATGTTTACCTAAACAGTTTTCCACATAGAATGTGGCGCTGGACAGTTGCTTAATCATAAATGTATGTTCTAAAAAAAGATTGCGGGAAAACCAGGCTGTCTAATTCGTGAATTCCCTTTTGATGAATTACTCTACTATACGTGGTTTAAGATTTAATTCAGTCCTGAAGAATTTTCTGTAAATTCAGCTTCCTTTGAAATTCATTATAAAATATAATAATGTGAATAATATTTCAGGGGTTGTGTTCGATAATGGTGATGATGATGTAACCTGATTCAGGCTGATTATGTCATCATCAATGACAATATTTGACAATTTTGACTTTACGAAAACGAGCCTGCGGAATGTCACTATGAACAATATTTAGCTATTTAAAAAGCTGAGCCAGTCCTTGCAGGAATTCACGACATATGAATTTAGTCGGGTTAACCCACATGTTGATTATTTGGACATCCACATTTTCCTAACTGTAACAATTCATATATATATTATATTACATGTATTCGCCACGTTAGCGATGATAATCTTGAAGGACCTTGAACAATATGGTCTGATCCACTGCCGGCAAATATTAACTACTGTAGAGTTTAGTTAAAACATTCTAAAGAAAATGTATTATGATAATAATAAACCCTAAAGTTTAAAAAGAAAAGACTTGTGTTGAACATAGACTGTAGAATGGCTTAACAATTTTAACTCTATGTCTGTTCCTATGATTAAAATTCGATCTGGCAAATAAAACGTTGAAAACCCAAGTATGTATAAGAACATGAACACTTGAAGAGCTATATATGTGTCGTGATTGGTAGGAAACCTCAAGTACCTGCTCTTTGTTTGGAAGTGAAAAAGTTTTCATCTTCTTTTTTTTATGTACATCACCATCATATTATTATGGATAGGAAAATTAAGGTGATCGTCAGTTTAAGCTTGATTTAGTTCGTCGGTCTTAACCTGTCTTACGAAGTTCTGCTAATAACGTAGACAGCGTTAGTTTGTTTTTATGTTTCCTTTTATTAATTGTACCTGTTTTTGTGTCATAATTGGTAGGAAAGTGCAATAGTAAGTTTCTGATCTTTTTGCGACATGGGGAAAAAGCTGTTTAGAATTTAAACGTGTGTAGGTAGGAAAGAGCGATCGTCAACTTATTTTTTTCCTAAGTAAGGGGTGTATGAGAGAATGACAACATTAAGCATCTTTCGTCCCTCTTTTAAGATCATTTTTGTATTCCGCCTTTTTTTCAGCTTATATCATTGATGCATATCACTATTATATTGTTATGGATAGGAAAAGGCGATCTAAGACTTTTAGAGTTTAATCGTGTGTTGGTAGGAATGAGCGATTGTCATCTTTATTAAGTTTTTGTTAGTAGTATGTGGTTAATGACGGCATGACAACATTAAGAGATCCTTTTCCGCTTTTTTCAGCTTATTCCTTTGATGTACATCACTATCATACTGTTATTGATGGGAAAGGGTAATCGTTATTTTGGGTTTGATTTATTTGTCCGTCCTAATTTTTTTAATATAATTCTGCTTATAATGAAGACAGCCATTTTTTGTTTGTTTTATGTTTCTTTGTGTTAATTGTACCCCTTTTTGTGTCGTAGATGATAGTAAACTGCAATACGAAGTTACTGGTCATTTTTTCGGCAAGTGAAAAATGACTTTTAGAATTTAAACGTGCGTTGGTAGGAAAGAGCGATCGTCAACTTTATTTTTTGTTAGTATGGAGTTTATGACGGAATGACAACATTAGGATAATTTTCCGCCTTTTTCATCTTATTTCATTGATGTACATCACTAACATATTGTTATTGATAGGAAAGGATAATCGTCAGTTTGTCTGTCCTTACCGGTCATATGAAGTTCTGCTTATAATGTAAACAGTGATAGTTTGTTTTTATTCTTCCTTATATTAATTGTCTTTCTGTGTCGTAATTTGTAGGAAAGTGCAAAAGTAAGTTGATGATGATTTTTTAGCAAGTGAAAAATGACGTTTAGAATTTAAACCTGTGTAGGTAGTAAAGAGCGATCGTCAACTTAAGATTTTCGAAATAAGGGGTTCATGACAGAATGGCAATAATAAGATCATTTTTGTATTCCACCTCCTTTCGGTTTATAGCTTTGAAGCACATCGCTATCATATTCTTATTGATAAGAAAAGGCGATCGAAAGAGCTTGTCCGTCCTCGCCTGTCTTATGAATTTCTGCTAATGTAGATAGAGATAGTTTGTTTTGATATTTCCTTATATTGATTGTACCTCGTTCTGTGTCGTAATTTGTAGGATACTCTTTTTTTTTGGAAGTAAAAAATTCTGTTCAAAATTAAACGTGTGTAGGTAGGAAAGAGCGATCGTCAACTTAAATTTTTCTTAGTAAGTGGTTTAGGACAGAATGGCAACATTAAAATCATTATTGAATTCCGCCGTTTTTAGCTTATTTCTTTGATGTACATAACTATCATTTTGCTATTGTTAGGAAAAGGCGATCATCATTTTGTTTTGAGATCAGTTTGTTCGTCATAACCTGTCTGATGAACTTCTGCTAATAATGTAGACAGCGATAGTTTGTTGTTATGTTTTCTTATATTAATTGTACCTGTTTTTGTGTCGTAATTGGTAGGAAAGTGCAATAGTAAGTTACTGATATGTTTTCGACAAGGGAAAAAGCTGTTTAGAATTTAAACGTGTGTAGGTAGGAAAGAGCGATCGTTAACTTATTTTTTTCCTAAGTAAGGGGTGTATGAGAAAATGACAATTTTAAGATCATTTTTGTTTTCCGCCTTTTTTATGTTATATCTTTGATGCATATCACTATCATATTGTTATGGATAGAAAAAGGCGATCGTTAGTTTGTGTTTGATTTAGTTTTTCCGTCCTAACCTGCAGTCTTATGAATTTCTGCTAATAATGTAGATAGGGATAGTTTGTTTTTATGTTTACTTGTATTAATTAAACCTCTTTTTGTGTCATAATTGGTAGGAAAGTGCAATAGTAAAATGCTGACATTTTTTTCTGCAAGTGAAAAAGACTTTTATAATTTGATCGTGTGTAGGTAGGAAAGAGCGATTGTCATCTTTATTTTTTGTAAGTAGCAGGTTTGTGATGGAATGACAACCTTGAGATCATTTACCGCCTTTTTCAGCTTATTTCTTTGATGTACATCACTATCATACTGTTATTGATAGGAAAGGGTAATTGTTAGTTTGTGTTTGATTTATTTGTCCGTCCTAACCTGTTTTATGAATGTCTGCTTATAATGTAGATAGGGATAGTTTGTTTTGATGTTTCCTTATATTGATTGTACCTCGTTCTGTGTCGTGATTGGTAGGAAAACTCAAGTACCTGCTCTTTATTTGGAAGTGAAAAATTCTGTTTAAAATTAGACGTGTGTTGGTAGAAAAGAGCGACCGTCAATGGAATTTTTTCTTAGTAAGGGATTTATGATAAAATGGCAACATTAAGATCATTTTTTTATTACGCCGTTTTCATCTTCTTTTTTTTATGTACATCACTATCATATTGTTATAGATAGGAAAATTAAGGGGACTGTTAGTTTGTGCTTGATTTAGTTCGTCGGTCTTAACCTGTCTTACGAAGTTCTGCTAATAACGTAGACAGCGTTAGTTTGTTTTTATGTTTCCTTTTATTAATTGTACCTGTTTTTGTGTCGTAATTGGTAGGAAAGTTACTGATCTTTTTGCGACAAGGGAAAAATGCTATTTAGAATTTAAACGTGTGTTGGTAGGAAAGAGCGATTGTCATCTTTAGTTTTTGTTAGTATGTGGTTAATGACGGCATGACAACATTAAGAGATCCTTTTTCGCATTTTTTCAGCGTATTCCTTTGATGTACATCACTAACATACTGTTATTGATAGGAAAGTATAATCGTTAGTTTGTGTTTGATTTAGTTTGTCTGTCCTTACCGGTCATATGAAGTTCTGCTAATAATGTAAACAGTGATAGTTTGTTTTTATTCTTCCTTATATTAATTGTCTTTCTGTGTCGTAATTTGTAGGAAAGTGCAAACGTAAGTTGATAATGATTTTTTAGGAAGTGAAAAATGACATTTAGAATTTAAACCTGTGTAGGTAGTAAAGAGCGATCGTCAACTTAAATTTTTCGAAATAAGGGGTTCATGACAGAATGGCAATAATAAGATCATTTTTGTATTCCACCTCCTTTCGGTTTATAGCTTTGAAGCACATCGCTATCACATTCTTATTGATAAGAAAAGGCGATCGAAAGAGCTTGTCCGTCCTCGTCTGTCTTATGAATTTCTGCTAATGTAGATAGAGATAGTTTGTTTTGATATTTCCTTATATTGATTGTACCTCGTTCTGTGTCGTAATTGGTAGGAAACTCTTTTTTTTTGGAAGTAAAACATTCTGTTCAAAATTAAACGTGTGTAGGTAGGAAAGAGCGATCGTCAACTTAAATTTTTGAAAGTGGTTTATGACAGAATGACAACATTAAAATCATTATTGAAATCGGCCGTTTTCAGCTTATTTTTTTGATGTACATAACTATCATTTTGCTATTGTTAGGAAAAAGTGATCATCAGTTTGTTTTGAGATAAGTTTGTTCGTCAGAACCTGTCTGATGAACTTCTGCTAATAATGTAGATAGCGATAGTTTGTTGTTATGTTTCCTTATATTAATTGTACCAGTTTTTGTGTCGTAATTGGTAGGAAAGTGCAATAGTAAGTTACTGATATATTTTCGACAAGGGGAAAAAAGCTGTTTAGAATTTAAACGTGTGTAGGTAGGAAAGAGCGATCGTCAACTTATTTTTTTCCTAAGTAAGGGGTGTATGAGAGAATGACAATATTATTTTTGTATTCCGCCTTTTTTAAGTTATATCTTTGATGCATATCACTATCATATTGTTATGGATAGAAAAAGGCGATCGTTAGTTTGTGTTTGATTTAGTTTTTCCGTCCTAACCTGTCTTTATGAATTTCTGCTAATAATGTAGATAGGGATAGTTTTGTTTTATGATTACTTGTATTGGTTGTATTTCTTTTTGTGTCGTAATTAATAGTAAACTGGAATAGTAAGTTACTGATATTTATACGATAAAAGAGATGATTTCAGCTTTCCAATTGTGAACTTTCTATTTCTATGTAGCAACATTCCAGCAGCGCCTGCATATGGAGAATATATCTCACAGTTGATACGATATTCCAGAGGCTTGCGTTTCCTATCATGATTTTCTTGATTGAGGGTTGCTGCTTACCAGGAAGCTACTAAACCAAGGGTTCCAAGTGGTAAAGTTGAAGTAATCCCTGCGAAAATGTTACGGACGCCATCACGAGTTGGTTGACCGTTACAAATGATATGTGATCACCTAATTCGTATATATGCATAAGCAAAACGACGGGTGCCACATGCGGAGCAGGATCTGCTTACCCTTCCGGATCACCTGCGATCACCCTGGTTTTTGTGGGGTTCGTGTGGCTTAGTCTTTAGTTTTCAATGTTTTGTTTTGTGTAGTGCTTTTTGCCTTGTCGTCGTTTTTCGTTTTTGTCATGACTTTGTCGGTTTGTCTTCGACTTATGAGTTTGAATGTGCCTTTGGTATCTTCTGCTTCTCTTTTAAATTAAGGCCAACGGGATGTTGTTGTAAACCCACCTTTGTGTTATTCATAATGATTTTTCAAAGGAGAATCGTATGCATGAACTTATCAATTGTTCACAAATACCGCTATCCCAATGAAACTAGCACTGTGCAAACTTTTCAACATACAATTATTAAATTACATTTGATATGTCAATTAACCTACGTGTTACATAACACTTGAAATGACTAATTTGAATTCCCTAATGTTGTACATCTGCACGCTAAATGCCTAGGAATCCCAATTTAAGAGGAACTAATCGACACCCAAGGGACGTTGGAGCATTTGTTCCATATATTGAAGATTTTGTGAAATTACTGAAGTCGTCTGACATTGCAGTGAAAAGTACTGATTTAAAGCGTATTTACCTTAGATACGTAAGTGCTCGAACTGAGGCTGTAGACCTTCATCATCAAGCAAGTTCGGGATTTTATAGAAGATTCAAAAAGCTAGCAATTATACACAAGATAAAAGAATGTACAAAACCAAGGGGGTATTAAGTAAACTTGCCTAGAATATCCAGAAAAGCAATTCATTCTGCAACAGAATCAATTTTCGAGAGACAATTTTATGAAAGAAAATTTGTGAACAAGAACGTTGGATGTGGCGTTTTCGCTCTCTGCAATATTCCATCGAATTTTCATTTAACAGAATACAAAGGACAATGGATCACACAATCCGAAAATAAAGATCGCGAGAAGGAATATGCAGAGAACAATTTGCTTCCAGTAGCAGTATTTGATCCTGTAAAGAGTTTAGTGTTGGATGCTAATCGGAATAAGCTCGGAGATTTGTTTAAGGAAGAAGAAAATTTAGCACGATATTTCAACCATTCGAAACAGTTTCCGAATTGTAAACTTATATCTGTGGTGCATGATAAAGGACAAAGTTATAAGAAACTTTTCTTGGTGTCTAAAGTTGATATACCAAAAGGTGCAGAATTGGTTTGGGACTATGGAGAGACCAAGAGAGATAGGATTCTAGGGAACCCTTGGTTGACCGGATAACTCTGTCGCTTCAAGATTACATGTAAAATCTCAATTATCAATGGGTAAGTAAGTAGTCGAGGTATAAAATAACTCATCGATTCATTTTATATATTCAATTTCAATGTTTGGTAAAATTTGTCTAGAGGGTAGGTGGTCGAGTGGTCAGGCTAGCGCGTCGGACACAAGCTTTAAAGTTCTGCGGACAAGTTTCAGTAATTGAATTATAAGGGATGACTGGTATATTTATTTCTATCTATTTGAAGTGTGCACTACATGTTTGATTTTATTTCGAATAGACAGAAAACAATATTTATACATTCATTCCTTAAATAATATAAAAAAAAAACGTGTATAAAATGTACTTAACAGTGAGTGACTATATTGAATGTTAAACAATCACGTGTATGTTTACAAAACTTCAGTTTATGTATTATTTTACTGCATAAATTGATTGAATAAAATTATTTAAATTGGTAATTAATACCAATAAAGGATTTTTGAAAAAAAATCTATATTTTTTTATAAAATTTATGTATTTAAAGGTGACATCTTATTTTATATTTCAAATCTGAGATAATTCCTTTGAAAAATAATAAGTTATTAGCATTTTTATTTGGTCCTGGCATTGTCGATGTTGGTCCTGTCATTATCAGCGTTGGTCAGGTCACGTTTTCTAAAGCTTCTTTAAAAAATATACAATTTTTGTCTTTAATCTATATATTAAATGATTAAATCTTATTATATTTTAAATTTGAGATTAATCCTTTGAGAAATGTAAAAGATATTAGCATTTTAATTTGGTCCTGTCATTCGTTCCGGTCATTCGGTCCAGTCATTAGTGTAACCCCGAACAGACCGGATTGAATAAAACACGCCCCAAGATTGCACGAAGATGGTGCCCTTCCTATGTATCCGATGGGGACTTCTGCACAATATTACAACTAATTTGATGTTCTATGAGGGTCCACACATGTCAAGATGGACTAAAACATGTATAGACAAACAAGGAATGCAGGATATAACTACCGACCGAAATTACATTGTAAGTAAAATTGAAGCGACTTCGTGGTCATCCTAAAACACTGTAAAAGTTGGTCCAAATAATTATGTTGTCTTGTAAGGCTATTTTAAATTTTTGGTTTGACGCCTTCCCATGTAAAGCGTCAAAGAAAAACAATATAATAGCCTTTCAAGAAGTCATTATTATTTGGTCTACCTAAAAGTAAAATATGGACAAGTGGAAAGCAAAAGTAGTCTAAAACTAACCCCGAGGAACCAGTAATGACGAATACAGAATCCGGGTCCGTCCCCCCTGATTCTGGTTCGCCCTAGTTTCTGTTCGCCCTAATACCTGTTTGCCCTGAGTCCGTTCGCCCTGATATTTTTTAGTATAGTGTTGCGTTGTGTGTATATAATTGAATGTGTTGAAGTCAGTCTACAATTTCGCCGCATATTTTCGATGTTTCATGTTAACTTGTCTAAAGCTAGTTGCTATACTGTTGTTGTCTTGCTGCTACGAGGATACGTTTCTGTGAATTCAAAGACTACAAAGTATTTGACATAAAACAACTAAAGACTAACATGACTAAGTTATGTATATATTTAACTTTATTGATACATTTTAACAATTTAAAAATATTCAGTAACAGTTATAACAAGATCAATTCCGAACTGTACTTCGCACACATTTATTTACTAAACAAATATTTAAAAGCGCTGAATAGTATTACTATTAGTGAAACAAATACCAAAAACAAAGCCACACTGCTGTACATTGATCACTTGTCATCAGTGTTTTTATCCATCTTTTTTTTTATTTTTTATATTTCAAACTGAATTTTACCCATCCAAGCTGACTATTTTATTTGCGGAAAATGTTATTCTCATTATTAATCCATCAGCAATCAAAATTCAATCAACAGTAATTAAAAGTAATTATAAAATAAAGTGTAACAATGCACATGATGCAGCCAAGAATTTTATTTAATTAATATAAATTTGGCAAATATTCTGTATTTAACTTTTAATAGATATACATAAATTTTAGTATATATAATTATATTTCGTTCATTGATGTAACATATACATATCATAAATGAATATAGGGCGAACGAACCCAGGGCGAACGGACTATCAGGGCGAACAAACTCAGTGCGAACGAACCTAGGGCGAACATGTAACCAGGGCGAATGATCCCAATACCAGTAATGACGCACCTAACGTTGTGTTTGTCTCTGCATTTAATTAATCAACCATTTAAAAGAATTAGAAAAAAGGAAAGGAATAAAAGATTGATTACTTGTTAATATATTTTAACCATTAAACAGTTGATATTTGAAACAGTAATAGCAATAAAAGTCATGTTTGCTAACATTACAAACGGACTGTCAATCAAGTGGGTCTCATTGGGGTCTTAGCGTGACACGGGATTGCCGATTTTTGGAAAGCGTGACAAGGGAAAGTCAAATTATTGTGTCGTGAAAACGGGAAATGAGGTCTAGCAGGACAAGGGCAATGACAAAAAAATGAGAATTGCTTACGTACCTAGTGTAAGCGGGATACGGGAATCTGACAAAACAGTAAGCGGGATCCGGGATCAGAACCCCCCAATGAGACCCCCAATTAATGATGGGTACCAGTAATGGAATCCTGGTCCGTTCGCACCCTATTACATTCGCCCCCTTTCACTTTCACACCCTACACGTTCGGGACCAATTTTTATTGGTTTTGTGTATTCCTGACCTCTAAGTATATTTGTTGTCATAGTCCTAAATTAAAGTGAAACAACATGTGTTTTTTTATGTTGTATAAATCTTAATCTTGTTTTGGTCAAGTGTCAGATTGCTTACTTTTATTTCATTGTTTCAAAATAAAGTGAGACTATGACAACGTATTTGTTTGTGTTGAATAAATTTTAATCATGTGTTGGTAAGGGCATTGCTATGATTTTTGTTTCATTGTTTCAGATCAAAGGGGCCAAGCTGTTAAAATCTTTTGTGTTTTTCATTTATAATCTTCAATGTTTTTACTCATTCCAAGCTAAATACAGTATTTACATCAAATCAATTAAAAACAACAATCTTGATTTTCTAATTATTCAACTGGAATTTTATTTTAAATTGGGTGGGAACGGACCTTGGGTGCGAAGGTGCGAGGTGCGAACGTGTAGGGTGCAAAAGTGTATTAGGCGCGGACGGACCAGATACCCCAGTAATGATGCACTGTAAACAAACCAGTAAAAACCATTGTGCACCTTTGACATTTTCATTCATTTTGATGATTATGATGATAGTAACACAAAATTTTTAATCAATTTAATTGGCACCTATACTATATTTTTTTTTCAAATTTTAAATAAAATTGTTAAAAAATTATGAAGGAGATATATTTATTCCATTTATTTGAAGATAAATAGTAATTGCATTCATAAAACAACATTGACAATAATACATTTGTCAGTATATACTTCATGCATTGAATGAAAAAAAATCCATAAAGCATAGAAAATTATATAAGCGACAATCATTTGATCTACAGTGATTCCCGCTTAAACATAAAACCATATCACATGACAGTCACGTGATTTGAAAAACACAAAATGGGGAAGCAGGCGGTAACATATTTTCATTGACTAAAGTGAATATAGGACTGATAATCATTCGGGGAAGGGTAGAATGTTTTTGAACTTAATAAAATGGCGGAAATAACATGGTGTTTAATAATTCAAGCAATAATAACATTTCTATGCAGAGTTTTAGGCATCTTAGTTGTGGTCAGATGACCTTTACCATCATGTTATGAATAGCAAATGTTGATTACGTCACAGCTTTTGTTTAGAAATATAAAACCGAAAACTAAATCAGTGCGTCATTTCTAGTCCTTTTGAGAAAAATCCTGTCTAGTTTAGATTTAAAATATTTCAAAATGCAAGTTCAAATTAATGCTTTTACAGCTCTGTCGCATTTTTCATAATTTAATACAAACCTCGCACTAATTTCTGAATTTACAGTACATTGATCATGTTTATAATATTGAAACAATCATTGATGCAAATAAAAAAAAATCAGGTGAGCCTCATGTTTAAAGTTGACTATTTGTGGACCTCCATCAACGTCCATGGATTTTTTAGTGTCACGGTTATGTCCATATTTAATATATTAAGCTAGCCTATGTTCAAAATACATGTATGTGCGTACCAGGTATGTAAAATAGATGTAAATGATAATACTACAGTATAGAAATTTTTTTCAGAGGCTATAAATCGTACATGTACAGTGACAAATGACAACAGTGTGAATGTGAAAAATTGTGACCTCTGCACACCTTCCACAAGCAACTTTCATGTCAATGGTCATGCAGAAGAAAGTAATAGAAATAGCCTCCAAGGTAGTGTAAATGATATGAGAATGTATATATATGTAGTTTGGTATGAACTTTAAAGTTAGACCGAATTCTTCTGTTCCTAAAATGCATATATATCTACTAATTTACATTTGCTTTTTATTGATTTTGCTATTTTCTAATTTAAAAAAAAATATTGTGCAATATACTGATATTTAAAAAAATAATTAAAAAATAGCAAAATCTATGAAAAGCAAATGTAAATTAGTAAATATATGCATTATAGTGACAAAAGAATTCGGTCTATTTTAAAGTATTCTTGCACTAATCTTGGAAATGAAAGAGCTGAAAATTGACTACAAATTGATCTCAAAATGTGTGTACACCTAAATAATACATGTATATTCTTGAGGGCCTCAGGAAAGAACAGTCCTACATGTACAGCTTACAGTGTTAACCTCTTAATAAAAAAAACCCTATTATTTGTATGTCAATGTATAGAGGAAATTGTGTTATAATATACATGTACCATTTACAGGGTAAAGAACAGAAATACTAAAATAAATGTATTGTTTTCAAATCTATATCTTGAAGCTCAAAATTATGAAAAAAATCATACAAGAGAAGAATAGCATTCAGATTACAGAAATGAACATTGCATTATTTTTATTATCGAAAAATTTAAAAAATTTAAAAACTTTCTCACAAATTCTGTAGTAGGGAATTGATAAGAAGTAGTGGATTCGTAAACGATAATCAACGAGCGACTTTAGGCAATTCTCTAGCTTAACCCATTTCTAGTAAAACGACTGTCTGTTTTACGTTTTGACAATGAATCAACAATATTTCATAAAAAAAGTTTGGTATTTTGTCTTTTTTATTCTATAATAGCTGGAAATGAATATATCCACACGGTTCGCATCTATATTTAGACATTTGAGAAGTTAACATAAGTTTAATATAACTTAAAGGGGGTGTTAGCTCCCCTTTTTAATACCAGATTTTATTTTTGTATATACATATTTCATTTAATCTTTAATCATTACAAATTATTTAAATTAAATAGATTTTGGTATATTTAATTTATCCAAAAAGACATATATTGATATACAGAATTTATTTATCTTGTTTTGAAAAGTTAAAAAAATTTAATTACCAAAATTTAGAATCTTCAAAATTTATATACATAATATTTAGCAACGTGACTTGGTATAATGAAATCGTAACACCATTATGTCGTTCCTAGTCAATTTAATATTATTAGCGTATATGCCATAAATCTGCCATTTCATAATTCATATTGCTGTTTAAAGTATTAAAATTATGTGCTTACGATTTAAATTGAACAATTATATTTAAGGTAGATAGGGTGTCTTCCTCCATCTTGGATTTTGAAATACCAGAAAATAATCGGTCTAGACCTTTAATAAAATGTGCAAATTTTGAGAGTAGTGGGTAATTCATGTGTAAGAATTTACAATTTAATATAGAAAATGACATGTTTAATTATATTTATGGTTGTATTTTACAAAAAACAGAGCACTTTTGTTTGATTCAATTTTTTCTAACTTTGCCACATAAGGGGAGGCAACTCAAATGTAAGGGCAGATAATTCAAATATTGTTACTTTTACAATAGAATGTGTTAGGAATTTATATATTTTATTATGTAGCAAGAAAACGGGCCCGGTGACCCCATTTTTTCTTTTTCTTATCTGAAAGTATAATATTAGAGCTATCTTCTCATGTTTTATCTCAAAATTCTATGGTGCAGTTTTCGTTTTATGGCAGAATATTGCGTTTTCCATGCATTATCTATACAAAATCTGTCAATTTTGCACAACCTGTAGCGTGAAAATAAGCCCCGTGACCCATTCTTTTTATTATTTTTTCCAAAAAAGCATGATATAAACTACATTTTGGCAAATTATTAAAAAATTCTATGGATTATAATTTAGACACCCCATCTACCTTAAATTTTGTTTAAACTGTTTCCGTTTCATTTAAGTTAAGATTATTTTAGCGTTATTACATTTGGTAATATCGTTCACCGGTCAGTAAAATAGTTTTTTCTGTGGTACGCATTCTGAATCCACATCAGAATTGCTCTTGCTACGGATGTACAATGAATAATTATGTTGATGTCATAAACTTACCATCAAGATGTGCATAGCCGTGATCGTCTAGTCGTTGATAACGAATGTCATAACGGTGATATTAACAGTGCAAAGTTCGAACCTTGTACGCGGAATGAATTTTTTTCATTGTAATTTTTTTTTCTGGACCAAAATATAGTTTTAATCCTAGAACATGTAGAAGTATCATATATTTCATTTTCATATAATGGCAATGATTTTGTTCTGTTTTTATTGTCAAAGAAGTAGTTTTAACCCGTTTCTTAAAAAAAAATAACACCCAAAATAAAACAAATTCAATAAACATGAACAAACCAAGATATATATATTTCATTAGATTACAAAAGCGAATTATCAATGAGACAGAAATACAGTTAAATGACATGTATTGACAAGTAAGCGCTTTAAGAGTACTATTTATATATTGATTGATGTCAGCCATCGTGGTCTAGTGGTATCATGCATAGACTGAAGACTGTATTGATACGAAGAAAATACGCGCGGGTTCGAATCCTACACATGCCACTCGTTTTTGAGAGGATAAAAGATCGTAAGTTAAAAGGTTAAAGTTATAATATAAGTTCTCTTAAGTTAATACTATGGTCAGTGGATTCTTGAAAAATAATCTACAGCCAGAACAATAGACTGACGTCAGAGAAATGGGTTAAGTTGATATACTTCACATTTTATTTTATGCTGGACTTCAACAATATTTTATTTTCTCAGATGATTTGCATTATGATCAAAATACAAGGATGTAACCTGTAAGTCTTATCTATAACATGTATAAATTTGTATGCAGGTTTAAAGGAATGAAAGAGGAAACCCAACATCACTATTAAACATAAGACTTCTAAAGATCTACATCAAGTCATAACAACATGAACAATCATAATAATGTTTGTTCCATTTTACATTTATAAATAGTTTGATTTTTTTTTCAATTTTATATTAAAGATCTAAATTTATTTGTAGAAAAGAAATCATCAGAAATTCACATAAAAAGGAACCCCCCTGAAAGAAGAGACAATTTTGAAACAAAATCAATTAATGTTCAAAAGATTGATGAAACTCATCAACAAAGGACAAACAACACAAAAACCTTTCTATGTTGTCCCAAAGATACGTCAGAGCAAGGAGAGAAATTTACTAAAGGCGACTTTTCAAAATTAATGCTGGATATAAGCAATATGCATCTAGATATTTTGAAATATATTCAAAATTGTTCAAAAAACATTAAATTAATGCCAAAAATAGGAGATTCCTTGGATAGTTGTGAGGACTACAATGATGAAACTAGGAATTTGACTGAGGAGCAAAGAACATCACTCACAAAATATTTATGTGACAATTTTCAACAAATCACCTTGCAACACCCTGATGTACCAAGTCTAATTCATGGCACTATTACATTTATTTTGGCACACAGACCTTCCAACTTAGATTCAGGTTTGTCTGTTTTGCTTCTCTTTTATTTCTGTCAAAAGAATAGAGATGATATACATTTCATGCATTTATTTTAGTGCAAATCATGTGTATGGTGCATATGGTATTACTTAGTCTATATATTCAGCTATATAAAAAATTGACACCTTACATTCCTTAATCATGTTAATGTATGTAGTGTCATCGGGCGAGAAAAACAGACTTGTTTAGGGGATATACATTTTTATGGCCCCTCAACAAAGTTGTTGGTGCCATATAGTTTTACCCTTGTCCATAATTCCGTCTTTCTGTCATTCCGCAACAAACCATTATACAGAGTTTGTTTCTAAACGCCTTCAGATATTGGGCTAATTTCTGGTATGTGAGTTAACCATGATAAGTAACTGATCAATTTTAAGTTTCGTTCCGCTCCACTAATTTTTGCCAAAATTACGGGCTTTGGACTTAAAGAAATTATTGAAAATCACAGTTATACAGACTTTTTCTCTTTTCCCCTCCAGATTTTGAGCTGATTTTTGATATGTGAGGCTACCACCATGTTTGTGTCCACATGTGTTTATATTGAAATTGCAGATTTTTCAGCTTTTTGGGACGGGCTATTCGTGTCGCTTTGACACATCTAGTTTAAAATCAATGTCTTTTGACCTTTTTTTACTTTGTCATGTTTGTACAAGATGCCTTATGTTAAAAACATCCCTTCTGTCATATGTCAATTGTGCCTGACTTAATTTAAATGGTTTCATTGACCACTTGAAAAAAAGTTAAAATTTTCTGTAATGTTAATGTTCATGTTATCATGAGTAGAAGGATAACTTTACTAGCTATTTGCATACATGTGTCTTACATGATCCGTAATAATGCCTGTCAGACAGTTTTCATTTGGCCTATTCCTACATCATGTATATGCAAATATATCTACAATACCAAAATCACGAAAAATAAGTACACCGGAAAAAGTATGTGATGTACTGATTAAGATTTTAAAATTGTATTGTATATATCTACAGGACAAGGATTTGATTTAACTCCATTTTTGGAATCTGATGATAATGATGGCACAGATTCGGATTCAGGAAAAATTGAGAATGATGAATTTTCAAATGGTAATTAGCAAAATGATTAGTGTTATTTTACTCTGATTGAAAGTTAGCATGGTTAGTACATGTGTATAATTACATTACATGCATGTTTCTTAGTATGACATGTATGGTGTTTTATTTTAATGGAAAATTCATACAGACCCAGAAACCAGTGTCTGTTTGCATTTGTAGAAAGAAGTGAGAAACCTAGTATTCATAAGAATACATGTATAAAGCTAGAATTTAGGTTTAAACATTATTAAGATAAGTGTTATAGTTCACACATTTTAACTAAATTGCATAGTCAGCATCATGATAGTTGTACACTGAAACAGGAAGATAAACTGACATGGCTAGAGAATTACGTTTATACAAATTTTGTAATATGTACACAAATGATGTAGTGTGTTGAAAATTATCAACTTTAAGCAATAGGTCAACTCTATTTAGTTTATTGAATGATTGTAAGGTGTACATGTATTTCTCTTTTGTTTTATATTACTATGACCTCATTTTCTTGGATCATGTTAAGTTTATGTGATTGTTGTAGTAAAGCTTTATATTTATATAATTAGGACTATCAACTTAATATCAATGGTTAGTAAAGAAGGCGAGACATTTCAGTGTGTGCACACATTTGTGTCAATGAAAACAAAGTTGTTTAAATGAACTTTTTTGTTTTATTTACAGGACAGGTATTTGATTTAACTCCATTTTTGGAATCTGATGATAACATTGATAATGATGATAATGATGACACAGATTCAGCAATGAATAAGAATGGTGGATTATCAAATGGTAAGTGTGGTATTATTTTATGTTGATGAAAATGTGATATTATGCAAAATTGACACACTTGTTATTGTTTACTGTGTATTCTTATATCTTAGAATAGAATGGTATATAATGGCATGAATGGTATGTTCTTTTTGTTTTGCCTTCAGAAAAAAAGTTTCAAAGAGTGAAACATAGGGTTGCTAATCAGCCTGTGGCATTGAAAGCTCCTTTGCATAAACTTTTATATATCAATTGCAGATCCAGAGCTTGCGGTTGGGGTGGTGTCCATCATGGAACTTTCCCTACATATGGTTTGTTACAGTTAAACAGACATTTGCCTGACACCACCTATAGTTAATTCATGATTTTTTGTTAAATATATAAGTTTATTCTTTGTTAAAAGTCCATGTAAATGTAGAGCTTTTGTATGTTGTATTAATGACAAGAATATTGCCAAGGTATGTTGAGGGGAGACAGTTGAAAAGAAATATTTCAACTATATTTGGTGTACTGGAATATTTTATGATGTGCATGTCAGTTTGGCAGGTTTTATTTGACCTTGACCTCATATTCACGGGTCATTGCTTTGTGTTAAGTTTTTGTATTTTGGTCTGTTTTTTTAAAACTATAAGCAATAGGTTAACTATATTTGTTGTATGGAAGAATTGTAAGCTGCTCTTGTCTGCCCGGCATGTTTCATCTGACCTTGACCTTAATTTCATGGTTCATTAATCAATGTTTAGTTTTCATGGTTAAGTCTGTTTCTTAGAAACTATAAGTAATAGGTCAACTATCACATGTATCAGGACTATACTTAGTGTATTGACTGATTGTAAGGTGTACATGTATTTCTTGTTTGATTTATATAACTTTGATCTCATTTTCTTGGATCATGTTAAGTTTATGTGATAGTTGTAGTAAAGGTTTATATTTTGGACTACCAACATGATATCAATGATTAGTAGAGAAGGCAAGACATTTCAGCATGTGCACTCTTGTTATTAATATGACAAAATAATTATATGAGTTCCAACATAGGAGACTGAATTAAAAATGAGGACCAACAGGTTTTCATTAAGGACATGAAGGACCAACAGGGAAAAACAGATTTCCAGAAACTCTGTCAAATGGTACTTCATATCTTGTGTACAGGTGCTTTATGTTAAGACATTTCTGCTGGCATCTATGATCTTTGTTCTTGGCCTTTATGCTTCACTGATTGTTTTAAAAATGTTTTTATATACATGAATTTTAGCTCACTACTCCCAAATGAGATTTTCTGAAAGTCTATAAGAGGATGAATAACTTTACAGATACACATTGATCTTGAAGACTTTAAAAAACACTAGAATTTAATAAAGTTTAGCATAGCAGGCCAGGCATCTCAGTGTCTGCACTCTTTGTTTGGTTTTATAGCAATGTAATGTTTAGATTCTGCAAATATATTCATATCCCTAAGCTTTATAATATATTTGTTTAATTGTATGTCATATTTTGAGAAAAGCTGCATTGAAGTGACTATTCTACTATTATATATTTATTTTACAAAGTAGAAAATGAATATTACTCAATATCTTGTCTATATCAAGGCATAATGAAAATTTTGCTTACTTATTCATGTCACTTTAAACAGAATGGTTAAATTGTAAGTTTTTTTATTTTTCTTTATTTACAAGTATTTGATTTAACTCCATTTTTGGACTCTGATGATAACATTGGTAATGATGATAATGATGACACAGATTCAGCATGTTCAGCAATGATAGAGGATGGTGGATTATCAAATGGTAAGTATTATATATACCATGCTATTTACGAGTTAACATATTTAAACAATGAATCCGCAGGATGAGTTCGTTTAAATATATGTTAATGAGTAAGGCCTGGTGTATATGTTTTGTAACATCATTCAAAAGTGGACTGGTGATTTTTTATCCAATAAAAAAACAGTGGAAGTGTCATTTTAGCCCGCTGCTTAGCAGGCGCAAGAGGAAACCGATCCAGTTGGGAATACAGCACATCAGATATGACAAAAAGTTAGTTTTTTGAATTGAGCGACTCGGGTTCTTCTAAGGCACATACCATCTGATTTTTTGGGGGCCTGTGAAATTTTAGAGCAAATTATTCCGGCTCTGATTTGTCATAAAAAAATCTTTAAAAAAAAAAGATTTTCCCTGACAAAATTTAATTGCAATACTAATATTTGTATTAACCGCCGCCCCCTACCCACCCCTAGTTGTAAGAGGTGTGTCTAAAATTTTTGTTAAAATTATTAAGTCAGTGACGGAAAGTAGAAATCCTATTTGTAAAATAAACGAAATTCTTGTCCTCGTGCATTTAAATTGTCAATCACATGGAGACGTAACAAAATAGCGGAGTTTAAATCATGGTTTAACATAAAAAATATCAGATTAAACCACAGTCAAAGCTCTGCCTATCTACATGAAGTTGCAAGGACAAACTACGTCATGATTGTTTTTAATGGAATAACATATCAATCTTTTTATTAAACTATGTATTTTCAAAAACCGAACTATTAAGCAAATTATCACATAAAAAATTCAAAGGAAAAATGTTTTATTATGTTACAATTAGTATTATTTTATCAAATAGAAATACAGTATGATAAACTAATTAACTTAAATTCTTATGGTTATCTTGTCCACCGGCAATCAAAACAAATAGTTGCAATGAATAAGTTTCATTTTTATATTAAAAGCACTCATTATTGGTCCAGTGACTTTGAACTTATAAGCAATGTTGATGTCCATCAGATTGTCTTTCTCTGATTTTCATGTGGACAGGCAAACATTGAAATCTCTATAAAATTAAGAATGGAAATTGGGAATGAGTCAAATAGACAACAACCCAACCAAAGAGCAGACAACAGCCAAGGGCCACTAATGGGTCTTTAATGCAGCAAGAAACTCCCCCACCCAGAGGCGTGCTTTAGCGGGCCCCTAAACAAAATGTATACTAGTTTAGTTATAATGAAAATCATACTAAACTCGAAAATATATACAAGAAACTAAAAGTATAAATCGTAGAAGACTAAGAAAATGCCATAGGCTCCTGACTTGGGACAGATGCAAAAATTCTGTTGGGTTAAATGTGTTTTTTGAGATCTCAACCCTCCCATATACCTCTAGCCAATGTAGAAAAACCGAAACACAACAATACACACAGTAAAACTCAGTTCAAAAGAAGACGGTTGAGCCAAATGTCAGAATTATATAGGTAACAAAAGAAACTAAACAAAATGATAATGATACATAAATTAACAAAGGAATACTAGCAGTTACTGACATGCCAGCTCCAGACCTCAATTAAACTGATTCAAAGATAATGTATAATTTTTTCTATATATTAAACGGTCTTGTCACAGTACAATTAGACTTTGCAATTCTTCCATTTCTCTGTTCTCTGTCCACTCAATTATTAAGGTTCAACACTTTGGTCGCCCTGCAGTGATAAGTCTATCCTTCCATAAAATATTGTGTCTTCACATGTTTATTCACTAACACCAGAGGGTGTGTCAATATGTATGCAGACAGAGGCAGATTTAAAGGGTTTGTCAGGGGTCATGCCCCCCTTTTTGTGGTAAAAACTTGGTTGATTATATAGGAAATCATTGAAGCATGACTGGAGGGGGTCCCCTTTTAAGCAGTCAGTGGGACCCCACTTATGAAAATTTCTGGATCGGCCACTATACAGAACTCTGAAGATCATAGGTCAAGGTAAAAAACTTAGGTCAGTTGAGAACCCCATGTCCTATGGAAAAGATAGTGTTAAAAACTTAATTGTTCTGTACATTTTAAAACAGAAGAGTCAACTTTTCAGTTTAATCAAGTATAAAATGTACTTTGATGTTCTTAGATATTTTTTTTTAAATAGTTGGACAAATTCCTGTTCCATTAGTTCAAAACAATTTGGAAGGATTTAAAAATTACTTTTTTTACATGATAATGTAAGCTACAACTATGCCTTTTGAAACTCTTTTCAATACACCTTTCTTCATGTTCTTTAAGTTCTCTTCTGAGGGTGACCATAATGTACAGGTTTGACTGTAAACTATTTATAACTCTTTTTAGGATGAAATAATTCAATCCCTTCTGTTCACTTCAGAATTTTCATGAAAATACTTTTCACAAACATATTAAAACTATTATCTTGTACTGTCACATCACTAGGATAATTTCATATAAGAACTGAATTTTAACACAGTGACCATGGATATGTTAAACAGTTTTGTCAATCTACACATTCTTACCTTCTTTCCATATATGTAATTAATGTAATTTTCTTAAATACAAATAGATTTCTTTTAAAATATATTTTTTGTATTTCATTACCATTTACAGATAATAGCATTGATGAGAATAACGATGATGACATGGATGATGATGATGAGGATGATAGTAATACATCTTCTTGTGTGCAGTCTTATGTAGATGGTAAGACATCCATTTTGTAATAATGTCGTGATCTTTTCTGGATTTATAGCTTTACCAATTTTTTATACTCAGCCTAAAATAGAACATGGAAATCATGGTTCTTAAGTCTTTGTGTCTATCTGCTCGTCCGATCATCCTTCTATCCATCCATACTCATGATCCTGAATCAGGTTAATGTTTTTGGCGAAGGTAGATTAGGGTGAAGCTGAAGTCACAAAACTTTGATCATAGTAAACATGTTGCTTATGATATGATCTTTCTAATTTGCATGCAAAATTAGGGTTTTGACCCCATTTGCATTGTTCAGTGAACATGAAAAATGATACTGAAAGAAGGGCATCAGTGTACTGTGGACACATTTTCTTGTTAAAAAATGGATCGATTTGGTTCTTATTTTGTATAAAAGATAATTGGATGAAACATTTATTGGTTACTTTTTTTAGCTAAGTCCATTTAAAATTAATTGCACTCCATTCAAATATTTGGCATATCCAAAAAGTGACCCATTCCACATATCTGTGTATGCCTTGATATAGAAAGAGACCTTCCCTCTCTTGTGATCATGGTGATATTGTGATTAGCATTGTTAAAATTAAACTGTATTACATTTAAGATTGCACTTCTTTTGAATCTTGATGAAAGGATGGAAATTGACATTATGAATACTTCATAAATTAACTTTTTGTGACTTTGCAGAAATTCCAGTTAACAGAGAAGCTTATCAACTTTTTCCTGACAAAATCAGAGGAGACCTTAAAAGTCCATTTTTATGTAAACAGCAGTGCAGTGAAGCATTATTTCAAGATGAAAATATCATTTATAGAGTCCAACATATAAGATCTGATTTACAAGGTTATAGACAAGGTGAAAAACGATCAACAAAGATCCTTGAATTAATGAGAAATACCATGTATAAAGATAAAAAAAAGGAAAGGAAACACAATTTCCATGGAAAAATAATTTGTATGTAAGTTGATAATTAAGAAATAATTCCTTTATGTCACGCTTTATGCTAATTTAAAAATGGGTAGGCTTTATATTTGTCGGTATTTACTCAAATTACTCTGAACATTCATTTGACATTAGTGGTGTGTAAATATTATGAAATATAATGTCTTCCAATGTTAAATGAACATTAAGCATGATGTGAAGGGATTATTTTATTTCTAGTAGGACAAATATGATATCTTTATAGGTTGAAGTATACAAAATTCCTTAGGTATGTTTGGCTGTTCCTGTTTCCTCCCTATGAATTATGCACATATTATTTTCATATTAATCAAATTTAGCTAAAATAAATAATTTATTAGGATACAAATGAAAAAAACCCAGATAGAACAGTAAGTTTGAGGCATTTGTCAATCTATGTTTTGCCAGTTAGAACACAGCATTGTTTACAAAACAAAATAATTATGTCATTATATGAATAACACAGAGCTGAGAGGGTGATAGAGCAGATTGCTACCTCAAGAAAACATTGTCAACCGCAGCAAAGCCAAGGTTGACAATGCTTTTTAAGGGGTAAAAACGTTACAGGTATTAGAAATATCAACAGAAGTCGAGCAAAATGTTTCATTTTTTAAAATTTTTACAGTCGAATAATAAAATCTGTGCCAAAATGTAGAACTTAGGCATTGTCTTTAGTTACTTGAAGTAAATTCAATTCATTGTCCTTTGAATTGTCGACTTTTGATTGGTCTAGACAAAAGGGTGACATTTGAAAAATTGTCACCCGCTCAGCCATGTGATAGAGTAAATTAACACCCTTGTATTAGCCAATCAAAATATGACATTTTAATGTGAAGTATAATAAATTATAATGTAGTACAACAGACTATTGATCTGAAGATCCCATGAGGAGTTCAGATGTTCAAATGACTTTTTACAATCCAATCAACACTTGCTTCCAAAAGCTTTTGTATGTATTACTATGGACTATTAATGAAGTTGCCATGTAATCTGCATTTATTTCTGGATAAAGTCCTAAATACTATTATTCTAACTGTTTAATTTACTAACATTTCAATTTTAGGCCCCAACCTGTTTATTTTTATGATCCAAATGAATATGTTTTACTATGGACTATTAATGAAGTTGCCATGTAATCTGCATTTATTTCTGGATAAAGTCCTAAATACTATTATTCTAACTGTTTAATTTACTAACATTTCAATTTTAGGACCCAACCTGTTTATTTTTATGATCCAAATGAATATTGGGGTATCCCTTGGCTAATTTTTTAGACTTCCTCATTGTTTTCATTTGAAGCAGAGGTGTTATTTAGTATTGAGCTGCAGGGTAAAACTTGTTGTAAAAAAGCACAAATAAAGGATAACATTTCCTTCGGATACTGATTCCATTAACATGACAGATACAGATCTGTGGTTGAAATAAAAAAAAATATTGAAGTATTAGTTGATTAATGTATCAGCTTTTTATATGATGATTTTTTTTTACAGGAGGAAATGGACTGATCTGTTGGGAATAAGTATTGCCACTTACTACAGGATATTTAAACTTTTGAAGAAAGACATAATGGTGGTAGAGAAAGTGAGGAAAACCCATTACCATAATATCAAAGGTTTGATTTTGTGTATATAGCATGTATAGTTATTTTTATAAATATATAATTATGTTGTGTACAAAGTTGCGATTTTGTACAGGATATAACACGTACAAATTTTTTTTACATGTTATAATTTGTACAATGCAAAAATACAAATTATAACATGTACACAATATTGCTTAAACATGGTTTTAACTTGTACAATTCCATATTTTGCTAGGGTTCCAGCTGTTAATAACTAATTATACTGCTTCAAAGGGGTTCTTTAACTGTACCAAAATGGTATCGCATTAACGGACAATAACAAAAAAAAATGATAAAAATATTGTTTAGGTTAAACGCATGTGTTGCGATAAAAGAATATATTTTTATTTTTAAATTTTGTACCAGTTATAACCTAAACAAAATTGCAACTTGTACACGACATATATCATTGTATATATAGCTTTTAAAGCTCATATTTTCAGTTGCATACAATTTCCTTGATTGTAGGTATGTTTTCTTTGAAAAGATAAGAAATGTCAGCCATTTAAAATATTATTATTAATTAAAGTAAAGTATTAACATTCAAATGATTCTTATGTTAGATTTAAAGTAATATGATGTAAAGATCCATGCTAACCTTTCTGAATTTTTCTGAAGATTTCTATATCGTTTTTGTCCATTGTAAATTATTGATTAAAAGTAATAAATAAAACAATTTACTAGTTGAATATTGCTTTTTGGATTAATACTTAAAATAGATATTTCAATTTTTCAACAATTTGTATTTTATTTTATTATAGGTCTTCACGCTGTAGCATTTATGGACAATTTTATAGATGAGTATGGAGATCCAAGCCCTGAAAGAGATGTAATGCTATTGCCAGATTGCATTAATATAAAGTATATGTATGATGAGTACAGAACTATACCTGGACTTTGCATAAAAGAAAGACGTTTTTATCAACTTTTTTCAGAAAATTTTGAGAAAATTGTTAGTTTTGTTAAGGTAAATGATTGATCTTTTATTCATAAATTGGAAGGAAAGCATATTTGAACCTTTTTTAAAAAAAAGAATTGATTATTCTATTGATAAAGTAAAATTACAAACTGTCATATACATATGCCTCATATTTAAACTGAGTTATTATGATTTTTGTCGCGCCTGCCAGAAAGCTCGACATAGGGATAGTGATCCAGCGGCGGCTACGGCAGCCGCATTAGCTAACTTCTTAAAAGCTTTATATTTTAGAAGGTGGAAGACCTGGATGCTTCATAGTCATACTTTGTATATGGATGCCTCATGTTACGAAGTTTCCGTCAGTCACGTGTCCAATGTCCTTGACCTCATTTTCATGGTTCAGTAACTACTTGAAAAAAAAGTTAACATTTTTTGTAATGTTAAATTCTCTCTTATTATAAGTAATAGGATAACTATATTTGGTATTTGCGTACCTTGCAAGGTCCTCATGGCCGTCAGACAGTTTTCACTTGACCTCGACCTCATTTAATGGATCAGTGAACAAGGTTAAGTTTTGGTAGTCAAGTCCATATCTGAGATACTATAAGCAATATGTCTTGTATATTTGGTGTATGGAAGGACTGTAAGGTGTACATGTCCAACTGGCAGGTTTCATCTGACTTTGACCTCATTTTCATGGTTCAGTGGTTATAGTTAAGTTTTTGTGTTTTGGTCTGTTTTTCTTATACTGTATGCAATAGGTCTACTATATTTGGTGTATGGAATGATTGTAAGGGGTACATGTGTAGCTGGCAGATATCATTGAACAGTGTATTGAAGGCTAATTATAAAAAACAACTAAAAACTATAATTTTAAGAAAATGGAAATAGCGTGTGCATATTTGTAATCATTAAAATAGCAAAAAAATAATCATTGATATACAAAATATTACAGTTGAGTGATTCAGTATCTTTAATTCCAAAACTTGGACATATCTGATCGAATAATCTCATCTACTTTTAGAATACTTTTATCTTTTTAGACAAAGAATATAAATCCTTGTGACATATGCATGAAGGTTAAAATGGAGATGCATAAATTAAAAGATGCTGTTAAAAAAGATCAGCTGAAAAAAGATTTAAAAGTTCACCTTGATAGACAAAGGTAATGTTATTCAATTGAACATTGAATCTGAATCCCTTGAACCAAAACTTATGTGATACAATTCACATTTCTTTTTATACCCCTGTTTTTAAAAAAGGGGGTATACTGTTTTACCTCTGTCTGTCCATCCTTCCGTCAGTTCGTAAGTCAGTCCGTCCCATGAATATTTTTCGTCGCATTTTTCTCAGGAACTACAATACAAGGATTTCTGAAATTTGGTTTCAGGGTTTATATAAGTCAGCTATACTGTGTGATGAGTTTTCAGATTCATTGCTCGACAACTTCCTGTTTACCGAACAACACTTGTATGATTTTACACATGATAGCCAAGTTGAAAATTTCGTCACATTTTTCTCAGGAACTACAATACAAGGATTTCTGAAATTTGGTTTCAGGGTTTATATAACATGTATAAGTCAGCTATACCGTGTGATGCTTTTTCAGATTCATCACTAGATAACTTCCTGTTTACTGAACACTTGCATATTTTTACACTATTAATAATATTCACTTGCGGTGGGGGTATCATCAGTGAGCAGTAGCTCGCAGTTTCACTTGTGTTAGTTTAAAAACAAAATGAATCGTTTAAGTATATAAATGTCTCTTAATTTGGACTACATTTGACAAAAAAACTTCTTCAAAAATGTTGCTACTGATGACAAAATGGATGTCAAGTTTAATATAGGCTATTTCCACTTTAACAGTTCATGAGTTATGGTCTTTGTGATATTGAAAATGACAGGACACAAGAAATTGTTAAAAAATTTGCTTTGCTGTCATTCTGACAGCCTCTTGTCTTTTTTTTCTCGATTTCCAATGAGAACACTTTACAATCAATCACACATAAGTCAACACGGCGGAGCCTCTACTTTAATTTGTTTTCACATGACATTTGTGATTTTCCTCTCCAATATTTAAGAAATAATTCGATCATGCCATGCTCTATGCTCATTTTAACATGGGTAGGCATTATATTTGTTAATATCTTAATGCCGAGCGTAAGCCAGGTATTAAATGTTTACAAATACAATGCCTACCCATTTTAAAATGAGCATAGAGCATGGCATGATAGAATTATTTCGATTCTAATAGGAATATTTTAAACTTTTGTACTTCGAAGCGGACCTATAGTAGACACTCGAAATGTCACAATTTTAATTTGATGATCAAAAACTTTATAGAAAAATCCACAGTTCATCAATAAAAAAAGAACAGAAACATTTAAACTTACTCTTAGAATGTTTTTATCTAATTTCCTAGCGAGCAGCACCAACGCAAATGTCCATTTTGATCTCTGGCGTTGTTCAAAATTCATCTGACGTTGCAATTTCAATTGTGACGTCAATCATGTGCAGCCCATGTTCTATTCGAATTAGAACATGGCTTTGTACCCAAAGCTAAAGAAGAACGTCATATTAGAATTTGTTATAGTTGTGTTTAAGCAATATATTTGTATGCCACTATCTATTTTGTAGTACATTCCCTTGATTCCACTTTCAACTACAGCATACAAACCAAACTAAATGCAAAAATAGTTAAGATCCAATATCATAAATATATAACTGATTTTGAAGCAAATGCTTATTTTTTTTATAGGAGTGAAAGAAGAGACTATTACAAGAAGAAAGACGAAGCATGTATGAAGTCAAAGGAAGTGATGAGTATTATTATTGATGGAATGGATCAGTCAAAGACTAACATTCCACACTTTAAGGGATGGACTAGACCAAAGGTATACAGTTGTACATTGTCAATTATCCAAGTAATAAGATATGAGATGATCAGTAAGTCACCATCAAGTTTTAATCAGGTTTTTTTCTTTTAAAATTTACCTGGATTAGAAACTACCAAATCTCATAATTATGAATTTTAAATTTGGTTTTATAATTGTTAGGTAAAGGTAAAAGGTAAAACATTGAATTCACCATAGCGATTGTTATGGTCTACAATAATGTTCAATATTTCTACCAAATTGCCAATACTAAAAAATATATCAAATTCAACAATATTGATCATTTGATAAGGCATGCACAACTTTAAAAAGTTATTTACATATATCTGTAAGTAGTGTGACATCTGGAAAGGGTAATTGTGTCATAAATGATGTTCATAATAATAATTATTATCCATTTTTCAATTGTTTTATAATGTAGATACAGATGGTACAAATGTGTAGGTTTAAGATCAATATATTTGACAAGTTGAAATTCCAAAATGTCCATTAGTATTGCAGATATGAGCTAGTTAATTGACATTAGAATAGAGTCCTTTTTGCAGATTTTCAGTGGTTGAATAAGCTTAATATTTTAGAAACAACATAGAATTTAGTATTCTCTTGATATAGAGGATAAAACAAATGAACAGATTGGCTATAAAAATCAGTACTGATGCAATATTCTCTCTCTCTCTAGAGATACGTTTGAAACCTCTACAATTTTTTCATATTTTTCTATTTTTGCTCCATTTATATATTATATATATATATAAATCTAAATAGGCGATTAAGGGCATAGGTAGGGATGATTTCTCGTTCAATGACAGAAGTGTTTTTTCTTGTCAGGGAATGAGGAATCACTAAATACCAGTATGTCTTTGGCAATTTATTTGGAAAAAATTGATGCAACTTACCATTATGGAAAAGGAAAAACTACAACCAATCCTTTCTTAAGGATTCTTTATTTGCTACACCAATCGAGGGAGACGTCCTTACATTGGTAGCATATAACTAGCACATGTCTTGTTACCGGTTTCTAAATATACTTTTTTTATATACATGTATATAAGTATATCACAGACGACACAAAGGTGAACAACCATATAAATTTTCTAAACAATTTTATGACACCTATCAATTAATAATGTACATTTCATTAGGGACTATCATTTGCTCTTGATTTTTTTCATTTTCATAGTACATGTACCTTCTGCATGATATGTGTTTTGGTTTTTTTTGTCTCTCAACATATATATATTTCCTAGTAATTCAGCAACCATGTCCGTCAAAGTTTCATAAGATTACTCGCCAAAACGTAATACTAAAAATAATTTAAAGACTGAAAGTATATATACATAATATTTTAAATTATGTTATATGAATTTAAGGCGCAATTACTACATAAGTAAGCCGCCTTCCAAAACCAATAACAACAACAATCTACACAATCAACAGTAGTGATTAAGACACTTGTTCTGTAAAGGAATCTGGCTTAAAAGTTGTTTTTATGTCCCATTTATGAGCATTATGTTTTCTGGTCTGTGTGTTTGTTCGTCCATCTGTCCCACTTAAGGGTTAAATTTCTGGTTAAGGTAGTTGTTGATGAAGATGAAGTCTTATCAACTTGAAATGTAATAAACATGTTACTTATGATAGGATCTTTCTACATGTATTTGTAATGCCAAATTAGAGTTTTGACAACAATTTCACAGTCCACTGAACATAGAAAATGATAATGTGGTTGGGGAATCCATGTACTATAGATACCTTCTTCTTTTTAATTTTTTAGCTTTGATTATAGGATTCACATATGTACAGAAGTTCAACATGTCCATGCACTAAATCCAAACATTTTTTTTGAAGTGTGGAGCAGCAGCTTTAAAAACCCACATCACTGGATGTTTAGTTCATGGCAGTCAACTCTATCTATATACAGATTTACTACAATGGCCACATGATCCTAACCTAACTATTACCTGCCTTGTTAATGCTATAACCAGTAATACAAATGTGCTACCTCCAAAACTATATGTACAATGTGACAATTGTGGAAGAGAAAATAAAAACAAGTATGTGATAGGATTCCTTGGTTATCTTTGCTTGAGTGGATATGTCAAAGAGGTACTTATATATGTTTATATGTATGTATGTACAGTTAAGACAATGTTGCCAATATTAAAAATATCTTTGTTTCCCCTCCCCGACTGAGGTTATCAGGGTATGGGTAGGTAGGTAGGCAAATTATTTTATTTTATTTCTTGATATAATTTTTTCTATATTGAATTTTTACAAAATTCAACAGGTAAGATAAGTCAAGAAAAGTGGGGTTTTCCCTGATTTCAGTGTACATCCCAGTTTTCTGGTGTTAAAAACTGTATACAGGGATTCCTTTTTTCCCTATTTATTTTATGCTATGAAATCTTCAAAAGCACACGTTCTTCGTGTGATAACAATGTTTAATGAAAGCAAGTGTTTAATTAGTTAAAAATCAAGCTTATTTCAAGTCTAATTTCATGCATAACTCAGAACAAAACAATTCCTGTGTTCACCAATTCATACCTTGATCATCAATTATGAGATGACAAAAAGATATGTTAATGACTTGGGAATTAAAATTCAATGAATAAGATTTTTCAATAGAAGGGAACATAATCAAGTTCAGTTATGTTCAGTTACACCTGGATCATGCAGCTTGGTCAATTAATTCCTAAACAAAAGATTTGTATGTTTTTTCGAGTTCTAGAAAAAAACAAGGCTTCACTTTAATATTCATGTTTTGTTGTTCCTAGAATACTTTGAGTATTTACAAATTCAACTGATGCAGTTATAACGCAAAACGTGCCCTTTTGTAAATTTCATGCCATAATTTGAAACAAAAAAACACATTTAAACTGGTCTTGTTTACACCAGAAATCAGGGAGGTTCCCTGAAAGCAGGGAATTCACGTATCCAACATTTTCTGACTTGTGCCCAACCTGTTCGAAGTAAAGACAAAGTAGATTGATTTCAAAGTATGATTCAGACCATTTTTACTCAAAGATTTCATCCCTTAAACAGGAACAGAGGTAAAAGACAAAGCCAATCAAGGTGCACTCAGTGGGTTGAAAGATTCTTCAGATTTTTTATTTTCAAATATCACCCTTGCACACAACACAAATCGTGTGATGTTTGTTTTCCTTGATTCCATATCATATAGACGCTTCAATGCAAAAATGCCTTGATTTAAAACGCTTGTTGACTACAGCATCGGAAAAGTATGACAAAAAAAACAACGCAGGTTTACTACAGCATCGGAAAGATATCACCAAAAACCAACATAGCAAAAAAGAATTTTGGACAAGAATGGCCAATTAAATTTTTTGAGTCCTGGCGATTTTACCTGGTCGTTGGTGGGAGGGGAAACAAACAATATTTTATTTTTGGCCTGAATTATCAAACTAAATTTCCTCAATCTGAGAAAAAAATGCCACACTCTTTGAATTTGTATCCTAATAAAATGTGGAAAATACACTACTGAAATAGATCTATGAAATATTAAAACAAGTTTGAAAAGAATTTTGGAGAAAAGTTTATGAAAGGATGTGTGTAAATTACTTAGATTTGTGTACAATCAGGTAAATGTAGCAATTCATTGCAAATTGTTAGTCTGTCTGTCTATATGTATGATATGCACATTTTAACACTGTGTATTCAGGCAAATGTCATGCAGATAAACCAAGGCAAATATTTTTGATAGTCTGATACAAAAAGATTAAATATTTGTTGGCCCATTTAGAAAAAAAAGATATGTTCAATGATTTGCTGTTAGTTCTGGTTTGCTGACACTATAATTTGCAATAACTTTAAAATGGTATGTTTAAATGCACATTCATACTTCCAAAATAACTGTAATGATACTGATTAACACAAAATATTAGTGGTGAGTGATTTATGCTCTTGTGAGCCTCTTGCTATATATACCAGTAATTGCTATTGGTGCATTGCATAATCATGATAATAGAAAAAAATGACCATACTAAACTTATTGCACACAACATGCTTGTAAGAACAAGTTTATCTATGCCAAGTCCCAAAATATCTGACGATCAAATAGGATAAGCATGCAGCAGTACAACATAAATTAAAAATTTCTGTTTAATTTAACCTATAGTTTTGTACTCTTGATCCTTGAATTCAAAAACATGTATATGGTGCGCTGTTAGGTTTGTTGAGTCACTAGGGAAAGTAGCTTGTTTGTGATTTGATTATTTGTTGCTGGGTTGCTGTCTATAGACAAATATTCCCTTCTTCTATATATATATGTAGAATATGTCTTAGTTCTTGATAAATTTCAATTTATTGTTCTTGTGTTCTGCATACTTTTAGGCTTATCTGTCCTTCCTTCTGAAGGGACATACACATGAGGACATTGATCAGCGATTTTCAGTAATTTCACACAGATTACGACGGGTTAATGCCATGACACTTCCTCAGCTACAAAAGGAAATAGAATCAAGTTTTCATGATAAACCACACCAGGAAGTGTTAGCATGTGTACGAGATGTCAAATCATGGTTAGACAATTCTCTTTGTGAGATGTCATTCCATTCCTTCCAACATCAGTTTTGGTATGTATTTTATAGTGACATACAGCTTAGAGCCTCTTTTATAAATAAATTAATCATATTTAAAATGTAACAGTTCATAGCAAGAAAAACATGAGCAAAAGTAACAAACTATTTAGAAATGATTGTACATTTCTCACACTTATCACTTGGATAAATTTCAAAAACTGATTACTAATACTTATAGAGCATTTTTGATCCGATTTTCTTCAAATGAGCTGCAAGAATAAGGGAAACAACAGACAAAATCAGATAAAAAAAAATATGAAGGGCACCGTTATGTTGGAGAAGATCATATTAGAATATCCCATATCTATACTTGTAACTGCAGTAACAACCTGCAGTTTTATCAGAGCATCTTTATTATTAATTAAGGTTCCAACGTATTGATACCTTGGCCAAGTGTAATGAATAAAATAATTCCCAGAAATTATTGTATTCCATGGAAAAGAGTCTCAGATTCCAAGATAATAGAATGTTAATCTACTGAAAGTGATGGTTCATAGCTTTTATTCCAGTAGGCAGCAGATCTGCATGCTCAATACCTTATATAAAGATGCCTTGTAAGAGGTGTCCATTTGTCACATGTGACATGACCTTGACTATAATTTCATCATGTTCATAGCTTAGTGAAATGCCTAGAAAATCAACCTAGTAAAGTAAAGGTCCATGAAACCTTTACTTTTCACTTTAACTTCATACTTCTAGGATATATATTTACCTGAGATAATGTAATATAAACAAATAGGATCCAGAAACGAGCAACATTTGTTTAGTTTGTTTTACTCATGTGATATTTGTTTTTTTTTACTTTAGGCTCTATTGTGACCGTCCTAACCATGTTACTTTGAAATATAGGAAGTTTTCAACTGATTCTTGGTTGCCTGAGGCTGGACAAAACCAAATAGAATTGTTTGATTTAGATATGACAGGATATAACACTATTCTCCAGGGTAAGTTCCAACCTAGGTGGTTTTAAAAAAAGGATGTTTGAACCAAACAGCACAAATATATATATATAGAAAGAGGTGGTATGAGTGTCAATTAGACAACTCTCCATCCAAGTCGCAATTTATAAAAGTTAACCATTGTAGGTCAAGGTGTGGTCTTAAACACAGTACCTAGGCTCACACCGAACAACAAGCTATAAAGGGCCCCAAAAATTACTAGTGTAAAACCATTCAAACGGGAAAACCAACGGTCTAATCTATATAAAATACGAGAAACGAGAAACACTTATGAACCACATAAACAAACAACAACCACTGAACATCAGATTCCTTACTTAGGACAGGTGCAAACAATTGCAGTGGGATTAAACGTTTTAATGGTACCAAACTTTCTCCCTTTTCTGAAACAGTAGTATAACATCACATCATAGACAAGCAAACTATAAATTATCAATTGGAAAGACTTAACTCAATCAAAAAACGAAGTGACACAATTAAACACACAATGAACAAATACATTTTATCTGTATTACAATGTAATTGCAGAGTTAATAAAAATAAGGGATGAATTATAAAGGTCAAAGTATAAAACTGCTGTGAAATGTTAATTTTTTTTTAGAAAAACATCAAATTGGGAGAAAAAAAATTACGTTATATAATACACAGGTAAATGAAAATAATTTTTGTTGTTAAGTATACTTCTTCTTTTGTTTTTATAATCATCCGGTTAAGAATATCAAGAAATATGTTGGACTCTCAGATGTTATAAAACAATAGCTTAACTAGTGTAAATTATAATTGAATTGTGAACATTCCCCTGACAGCTTCAGCTTGTACACATTATAATCTGCATTATACTTAACAATTATATAAACAAAGCAATCAAGCCAACCAAACATTGAAACTAAAAGCATTATAAAAATAGCTCTAAGGTTATAAAACTAATGATATAATTTCATTGAATAGGTATACCTAAAATATGCCAGCAGCACTACGATGATAGCAGGATTGAAATGGTCAGAAATGCCGTCATGAAAATGAAGAATTTTTTGAATTTCCAAGAATATACATGGTGAATGGAATTTCTTAACAATCCAACTAAATCCACTCCCAAAATAACCAGATGGCCATTGACAAATTTACTGAAAATGCACAAGATTATAGATATACCAATACAGCTGGTGCAAACAGAGGATCCTGAACCTTCATGCATTTCTGAAATGTTAGAAAGTGAAGGCTTAATAAGAGAAGTATGATTTCCTTAGCATTCACTTCTTAAAAGTACATTAATCTTAGTGTCTCTAATTTTTGTGATATTTTCATGTTTCTTGATTGGTGTGAGAAAAATATTTTTCCTCACTAGTGAAATATCTTGGCAAATTTAAACGACTGGTCGAAATTTTATTATTATGTAAAATTTTCTTGGTTTCTTCTGAATTTTTGTATTTGTGGCGTCATGTTAAAAGATGACCATGTCTGATAAAGTTGCATATAAAGAACACAACTTTCTACAAATCTTTGAAATGGAAGGATAAAAATCATAAGAGAAACAGATTTCACTACTTTAAATCGTGTATTATGATATTTGTCCACTCGCAACAGTTGAATTGTAATTATAAAGAAATCTCTTCAGACCTCATTTTTTAGCTCACCTGGCCCGAAGCTTTTCTCATCACTTGTCTTCCATCCTCGTCGTCGTCTGTCATTAGCTTTTACAAAAATCTCATCCTCTGAAACTAATGGGCCAAATTAAACCAAACTTGGCCACAATCATCTTTGGGGTATCTAGTTTAAAAAATGTGTGGCGTGATCCAGCCAACCAACCAAAATTGCCGCCATGGCTAAATATAGAACATAGGGGTAAAATGTAGATTTTGGCTTATAACTCTGAAATCAAAGCATTTAGAGCAAATCTGACATGGGGTTAAATTGTTTATCAGGTAAAGATCTATCTGCCCTGAAATTTTCAGACGAATCAGACAACCGTTTGTTGGGTTGCTGCCCCTGAACTGGCAATTTTAAGGAAATAATACTTTTTTTTGGCTATTATCTTGAATATTATTATAGATAGAGATAAACTGTAATCAGCAATAATGTTCAGCAAAGTAAGACCTACAAATAAGTCAACGTGACCAAAATGGTCAGTTGACCCCTTTAAGGAGTTATTGCCCTTTATAGTCATTTTTTACCAGTTTTTTGTAAATTTTTGTAATCTTTTTTTGTAGTCAAGATCTATCTGCCCTGAAATTTTCAGATGAATCCGACAACTGGTTGTTGGGTTGCTGCCCCTGAATTGGAAATTTTGCTGTGTTTGGTTACTATCTTGAATATTATTATAGATAGAAATAAACTTTCAACAGCAATAATGTTCGCAAAGTACGATCCACAAATAAGTCAACATGACCAAAAAGGTCAGTTGACACCTTAAGGAGTTATTACCCTTTATAGTCAATTTTTAATAATTTTGTAAATTTTGTAAATTTTTGTAAATTTTAACAAAATATTTTCCTCTGTAACTAATGGGCCAAGTTCATAATAAATTGAGATAATTGTATGGTGTCAGAGGAGTTGTGGCTCAACGGAATAGGTCTCCTCTTTCAGTAGTATAGATGGAAAATTACATTCTTTGTGCTCTCTTGCCAGAGTTTTTATAAAACTTATATCATAGTTTCATATGAGCAATGTCTAGATCAATTTGAAAAATCATTGCATATAAAATATTTTCAAAAGAGTTTAAGGCCACTTGAAAATGTTAATTTTTTCCCAAAATACATTGCATTTTATTTCAAGCCTTCATTTCTCAAAGATATTTATGAAAATTATGTTCCTTTAACCATTGTAATTTTTTTGGTTTAACATTGTTTTTGTGAGATAGTAATTTACTGGATATTCTATTTTAAGATTAAGACAAAGGAAAAAAAAAGAAAGAGAAAGGATTAAACTGATGACGAATTCTATATTCATCTGTAACTTATGCAGTATTGCTGGTTTACAGAGATGCTTAAAGTGACTAAAGCAGGATTTTCCACTGAAATCAGGATTGAAGATGTTGTACAGCTTTTATATGTTTTTCTTGGAAACAATAGAGCTAATAGAAATGCATAAGGCATCCTTTTATACTTAAGAAAAGAGGAACTGCAGTATACCAGATCAAAGAATCAAAGAACAAATGAAGGCATTTAGATTTAAGAGATTATCTTTTGAATTATGTAACTGTTGAATTGTATCAACATGCTATTATTATTATTGTTGGCTTTTGGCCATTAACAAGAAATAAGGTTAATATTGGATCGAATAGAATATAGATATAAGGCTTGTAATGTTATTCATACTGTTAGCGTTCAGCCAGTATGGAGCAATTGCACTCTGCATTTGCAAGAAATGAATATAGGCATGATATAATCTTCATATTGTTAGCAATTTAAAAGAAGTGTATATGAATAAAAATAAAAAAAATAAAAGTCAAAATTCCTCAACAATATTTCTAGAATCTAAAATGTACTATCTGTTTTGTTTATAAAAAATGTCTTCCTGTATTGTTTTTACCTGCAAGGCGTCTACCTCCACCATATAATCATTACATGCTCTGCTCTGTCATATTAATATAACAATGAATTATTTGTCTATATGATGTACGTTTAACCACTATTGATATACACATGTAAATGTAAGTGACCTACTTTGAAGCAGAAGTAATAAGCATGAGTATATTAAACTATTAATTCTAGAAGTATTGTTGTTTGCTGTTTGTAATTAGGTTATAAAGATTATGTATTTACAAATGTTAATTATATATTGGTCAGCCAAAAATGTTAATTACATTTGCAGATTTAAAGATGCAATATCAGCAACATATATGAATTTCCTCCATTTTGTCTAGTTATAGCAGAAAAATGTCAGTTTTTACAGTTTGAAAAATAAGAATTGTCCAATCAGACCTTTTTTGTAATCATATATCTATCTGTTCTTTAAAGTATACACAAAAGACCTTTTAATATGCTTTCATGTTTGAATTGTTTAACACTAGTAATAATGGGGCACTCAATAGCATGCTGTTTAGTGCGAGCCAAAGCTCTGTGTTGAAGGTCATACTAAGACATATAATTGTTTATTTTTTACACATTATGATTTGGATTGTTATTTGTTTCATTAGCACGTATACCACATCTTATTTCTATTGGCAGGTTAGACAGCAAAATTGATATTTGTATTAAATTCGTTATATTGGTTATTAAATTTGTATGTGGTATTAAAATATGAAGGGTTTGATCACCTGCCAATAGAAATAAGATGTGGTATACGTGCTAATGAAACAAACGTGGTTTGACAAAAAGTACACATACCGTTACCAACCATTTAGAAACTCTATATGAGTTATTTCCTCTTCTGTATATGACATAAAGGACATATAAGTGTAACATTATAATGGTAAGACATAGATACATAGGGTCTTTCAATTTGAAATCCATGGTCTCATCTATGCTGGTATCTATTATGAGTTTTCTTATGACTTTGGACCAAATGTACCAATTTTTTCTTCATATACATTTTGTATCACTTCTATTGGGGTTTTTTTCAGATTAGACGAAGTAACTTTTTCCAAAATAGATATAGCTAATTGTCACCCCTTTTCAAGTAAAAATACATGTATAGAAACCACATATCTTTTAATCAGTGCATGGATATCTGTCTTCTGACACCTTCATTGTATAATTTGTTTCCTTTTAATCTTTTTTATCAACAAATCATAATTTCAAAACCCAGTTCTTTCTTGTTCTGATTTTTTTTATGGAAGTAGTTTAAAAAAATCCTTATTCGAAAATTCATATTAATTAAAAAGTTGATATATTCAGTGAAACAAAGAATGCAAATATTTTTACATGTTTTAAGGCTAAATGAAAAATGAAATTGGTGTCATCTATCCTAGAAAAAAATGATAAATTATTATATCCCAGAAACTCTCATTTGCATTATAGTATAATAAATAGCCAACAGTATAAATAATATCCTACTATGCCAAAATTATTATTATATATATAAGTAACCAATTGTTATAACATCACATATTGTATTGTTCTACTTAGAGTTTCTATGTAACTTTGTATCAAGAATGTCTGTGAGAATAAAGATCTATATTTATCAAAGATTTTTCTTTAGAAGAGATATTAAAGTATGCAGCATAGTTTACCTGCTTCACCAAGATGAGGATTGAAAGCAAGTTGTGTAAAGGCTCCGCTCTGTCTGTCTTATCCACTTATGTATTTCACTTTTTTCAAAGTTTTTTTGGGCTTCTATTAAAGGGGTATATTATATTTGGTGTTGAGCTTATGAATGGGAGGTTGTGACATTTAAGCAGTATACAAGGTCTGCCATGCAGCCACTTCTTGTTGGCAATGGTAAAATAGAAAATAAACCTAAAGATTGTACAAGGAAAAATATATTTCTTGAATTCTAAAAGGGAATTATTTTATATTTGGTCTGGAACCTGTTATGTTGAGTTGAAGGTGGTTTTATTTTTAGCTTTTTTAGATCTGTGGTGTTCAGTTAGTTGTCTAATAACATTAACGGTACCAATTTTCCTGCACCAAAGTTACTTTTCAACTTTCTACAGAAGGGCAATGGCTCATATTTCAGTTCCTAGAACTATATACAAAACAGCTGTGCTAGCATAGGGCAGGTTTAACTGCCACAAAAAGAAATCCTAAAGAATCAACATACAAAAAAAAACATGACATGCTTTTCAATAATCTGAAATATACAAAGGTTTTACAAAGTTGTTTACCAAGCCACAGAGATCATCACTAGAAAGCTCTTTTCCTTTTTAACTTGGTAGATATATATGTGTGTTTCTGTTAGTGTCTATTTATACTATATTCCTTAAATTCTCACGGATTGCTAGAGTTGGGTCTCTTTTGAAAATGTTCCCCAGTTCTGAGATGATTTGTATTTACTTATATTTGTACAGTCAAGGAGTGATTGTGTGTTAGAAAATTTGTCATTTTCTTACCACCTTAAGGTAGCACAATACAAATAGTTATCAAAGATACCAGGATTATAATTTAGTACGCCAGACGCGCGTTTCGTCTACATAAGACTCATCAGTGACGCTCATATCAAAATATTTATTAAGCCAAACAAGTAAAAAGTTGAAGAGCATTAAGGATCCAAAATTAAAAAAAAGTTGTGCCAAATACGGCTAAGGCAATCTATGCCTGGGATAAGAAAATCCTTAGTTTTTCGAAAAATTCAAAGTTTTGTTCACAGTAAATTTGTCAAAATGACCATATTATTGATTTTCATGTCAATACCGAAGTGTTTACTACTGGGCTGGTGATACCCTTGGTGACGAAACGTCCACCAGCAGTGGCATCGACCCAGTGGTGTAAATAGTTATCAAAGGTACCAGGATTATAATTTAATACGCCAGACGCGCGTTTCGTCTACATAAGACTCATCAGTGACGCTCATATCAAAATATTTATTAAGCCAAACAAGTACAAAGTTGAAGAGCATTAAGGATCCAAAATTAAAAAAAGTTGTGCCAAATACGGCTAAGGTAATCTATGCCTGGGATAAGAAAATCCTTAGTTTTTCACTCCCAATCAGATAACTTTAAACTGATGAATTCATTTCATCCTTCTTTATAGTTTTTAAATGAGGTACCAAAAGAAAGAAGAAAGATTAATATTTTAAATTGTGATAATTTCATTATGACATAATTATTACATAATCAATTGTTATGTAATTAGTTGATATATTGTGATGTCCACACTTGAATGAATTTAGCGACTTTGTTCATCATAGCATCCCAAACTATTTTATAGATTCTTGTACAACACAGCTTGTCCTCCAAAACCGTGTCTCAGAAGCCAAAAACATCAATAGAACAAATTTTATACCCAATTGAATTTAGTGAACTCTTATGAATTGATGTTGCAAACTTCATTGAAGATTTTTGAGAGAATGAAATACAATAGGAAAAATCTGAAACAATACGATTTTCGCATATACTACACAACACGAAATTTGCATTGATACAACGTTATCGACAACATTGTTGTACGACAACAAAGAAGTGAAATAATCGAGTTTATTATATTTTACGTTAAAAATCATATGTTGATTGGCTAATACGAGGGTGTTAATTTAGTCTATCACATGGCTTAGCGGGTATTTTTTTTAATGTCACCCTCTCCACTAAATCAATTTAAAATCGGTAATTTAAAGGACAATGAATGGAATTTACATCTAGTTATTAAAGGCAATGCTTAAGTTCTACGTTTTGGCTCAGATTTTATTATTTAACTGTCAAATGAAAAAATAAAACATCTTACTTCACTTTTGTTGATTTTTCTAATACCCGTAACGTTGATGTGAATGTGACTTCATAAAAAATACTTTTAAATAACAATTATCTGTAAAAGACAATAATGATAGGACATTCAGTATAATAAATGAAATAACACATAGCTGAGAGGGTGATACAGCATATTGGTACCCCTCGAAAAAACATTGTCAAGCTTGGCCTCGCGGCGTTTGACAATGTTTTCTTGTGGTAGCAATCTGCTCTATCACCTTCTCAGCTCTGTGTTATTCATAATTATTTCACATAAAAAATCACGTTAATGAATTGCCATCAATGTAGTAACAATATTTAATATATTAACAAACAAAATAATCTAAAGGTAATCCAAGCATTTTAGAGACAAAATCTTTATCATAAAAGCGCTTTAAAAATATAAATCACCAAAATGTTTGAAAATGTATAGATTTATTGTATATTTAAAGCGTTTGAACGACAAAGAATTATAAACATTACAAAATGGCGCAAATTTATATGAATCTATGGCTGTATCAAAAAACATCTCTTGTTTTTTCTAAATAGAAATGATAATGTAATTAAAAAGATAGAGGAATACCAGAAAAGGAGGAGGAAATCGCTTAAACTTTAAGATAAGTATTTCTATATGTTTGACTAGTTTTACTACGTTTGATTTGTATGACAATATGCAAACAAAATATCTTTGGTACTCAGATGGCCATGTACGAGATCAATTAGCTGTTGAATATGTACAAGCAGCTCGTCCAATAGTTGGTTGTTGTTCATTTGCAGGTATATATTATTTCATATTTTCAAAAATATTTTTTTTATGACTTATGACTTCAAATAGGGTCCGTAGAGTAAACGTCATGTAATTCATGTAATATATAGTGTTATATGGACACACCGTATACAATACAGCCTAGTTCAGTATATGGCTTTATAGTATACAAGAAGTGAATAATACCAGAAGCATCATCAAAAATCATTTGGCTAAAATAACTGATAATACCGTGTCGAAAAGCGTAGTAGATTAACAAAAGGACTAACAAATAAGTTTTCTGAAACCACATAAACAACTACAGATTAAGCATTTGCAATCCACCAAAAGTATAATTTGAGGTTACCAATCAGCATGATCAGCATATAAATCAATGAATGTGGAAAATGCAATTCTTGTTCATGTAACTACATGTATACACGTACACGTGATTTGTCTAGATCAAACATTAAATCTCATCTGCGAAATCCGTTAAATTTGATTTTATTGGATAAGTTTTCACTTTCAATTAAAATGTTGTTGTAAAAACCAAGGATTTGTATAGTACTATACAAATCCTTGTAAAAACTAAAACTTTAGCATTTTAAATCATGAAAAAAACAAAATTTATGTACTTGTTAAAATTGTTCTAATGGCTAAAATTTTAGCAGAAAAAAATTGAACCCAAAATGTTTGAAAGCTAAAATTTTAGCCCTCAGTTTTTAGTTTCGATAAGCTAAAAATTTAGTTTTGTTTTATATATTCATTGTGTATCATATGGCATAAAAAGTGGAATGCTAAAGTTTTATCAAGCGTATTATTTCTTTTATTTTTATTACAGGTTGATTTGAAAGCTGTTGTGAATTTTCATTGGTTTTTCTTTAATAGAAAAATTATATTCAGCGGTATTATTTTAAGCTTAATGTAATTTTTCTAACATAAGCAAAACTGTAGTTTTCCGACAAGATGTGAATTGTTGTTCCTTTATGACATGGTTCGTCAAGAGATATGTTTAGATTTCCAGATATGACATTGTATGAGAATAAAACTGCTAGATTTTTAGCGAAAATCCATAGTCTTTTGACCATTTCGCAATGATTCAAAACAATCCGTTTTGAGAATGAAAATTGCAGTGAATCAAAATTTATTGCAGTCCGTTATATACAATAAACCCATTTAGGACCAGCTACCACATGAGCCTGAAAATCTCGTGCATGGTTAGTCACATGCATATATGAACCAAATATCAGAATGCGAGTTCTCATTATAGCGGTACTCACCCAGTCGCAGTATTCGCTGTAACAAAAACCTCGCAATAGTTTCTGAATTTTCAGTATTCAAAATCCATGATTTGATTTGACTCCATCATGTTCAAAGGCAAAAAAAAATGAAAGTGCGATGTGCACACTAAAAGATTTTTCACATCCACTCATTGCCTCCCAAGGAAATGTGGATATACAGTGGGAAAATACACAAAACTTACGGACAGGAAGACGGATACAGTCACCTCTGATACATTTCTTATGGGTGTAAAAGAGAGGCGAAAGATACTAAAGGGACATTCAAACTCACAAGTAGAAAATAAACTGAAAACGCCATTGCTAAAAAAAGAAAAAGACCAACAAACAAACAACAGTACACAAAACATAGAAAACTAAAGCCTGAGTAACACGAACCCCACCAATAACTGGTGGTGATCTCAGGTGCTCCGAAAGGGTAAGCAGATCCTGCTCCACATGTGGCACCCGTCGTGCTGCTCATGTTGTAAAAATCCAATACAAAGAACCACAGCGATTTCAATATATCGATAGGTTTATTGCAAGCTGAACTATTATTGTTTTCACCACTGCTATGTCTGTTTGTTGGATATTGACCATTTATTTTAAATGTTGGCAAAATTGCACTATTGTGTGAAATAGCTTTCTATATTCTCGGCATCCTGTCAAATAGTTCATGAAAAGTAATACGTTTATCTATTAGTTCCAGCATACAGTAATATGACTGTATATTTTTCCTGTTTCAATTACAATGTACGTATATGTATGGGGCTAGGAAAAG